GGAAAGTACATTTCCTCGCCGTCAACACTGAACGCCGGGACGGGCGTCGGCCGCATTGAACCGTTGCCGCGTGAGCCTCGCCCCGAGTTGCGGCCATCCTGCGATGAAGATGACGAGGCCCGTCGGTACGTCGATTGGTAGACAGCTTGCGGCACCGGGACAACGGGCAATTGTCCAAGTGGTGCCGTTGCGGTGTTGGGCGACCTCGGCTGCGGGAAGCCAGTGATATTGGCGTTGTCGTTGTTGTTGCTGTAGTTACTCTGGCTGCTGCCGTTTCGCCGTGTCCAGGCGTTCATCTCGACTGACATGCCCGAAAGGGCACTGTCCTGCGTCGCTCGCGATGCCCGCGGCTTACTGCCGTTGGCCTCGGCCTCGGAATCCGGGGTGTTGCGCCGCGATTTCATATTGTTGTGTGACGCTGGTCGGAGGCTGATTTCAGGGGTCGTGGAATATCCGCTGCCTCCCCTACCTCTCAACTGTGTCAACTATGCTGGCCGCACTCCCTTCCGCCGGCTGGAGTGGCACACACAGGATGTGGACAGATGCACAGGAGTTGCGAGAGGCGTGGTCAAGAAGCGTGACGGTAACGCAGATATCGTAATCAACGGTCGCTTCGGTGGGCCATCGGCCGGTAAGAAAAGGACCAAAATGAAAGTAGACCAAAAACAATGTCAGAGTACGTCAAGAAAAGATCGTGAGAATCAAAAGATTGAAAGGAACAGAAGTCACAGAGGGAAAGGATAAGATCGACGTCTGACGGTCTGCCTAGAAGCCAGACATGCAAAGAAAGAATGCGGAAAAGAAGCTAGAAATTCAAGAACAGACGCCAGAAAAACTCCTCTGCTACCTTCGCTTCCTGGGTCTTCCGTCGACTGCGACTCTGCTAATCGTGCTACGAGCCTCTAGTCCTTTAGTGCACATCTCGATGTGGCTCGTTCCTTGTCGTGTTGCGAAAATGGCAGGCAATATGAACGCACGACAACAATCCCTGCCGTTGGCCCCATCAGCTCTCCTCTTTTTATTCTTTTCCAGCTTAGCTTTCTCGCCTTTTTCTCTGCAACACCCCGGCCGAGCCACGACGTTGTTACGTGCACGCTTCCCTGGAAATGGACCCCACAAGCCCAGGTTTGTTTTCCTTTCTCGGTGTCTGTCCCGCAGCCGTGGTGTCCTTGCAATTTGCGTGCTCATTTTCTCATGCCATGGAAGTGATTTGGTGGTCTGGAAAAGGAAAATTGGAGAACAAGGCTTCTCCCCAATTACCCTTGCGTTTCGTCGTTTCTGCTTCCACACGAACCTCTGCGTGCTCTGGTCTTAGTCTGAGCTTTCGTTCTCTTCCTAGCATTGTCCCCTCTTTTCTCCATCTCTTTTCGTCTTGCTGCAGCACTAGGCCGAGCTGTCTCCTTCGACTGTTACGTCGTAGTTTCTGTCTCATGTCTTGCAGAGTACTCTCAAACAACCGTTGACGAGAAGGGGTGGATGTTATGCCAGATGCTGTCTCGCAAGCGAGAGTCGTTTTCAAAGGCGTACTTTGTCCCCTTGTATCCGTTCTTGCCAACAACACCTGGTATCCCAAATCCCAGAAACTGGGAAATCTTCCCGCTGTGGACAATGTCATATAGCGGATCTGCATCATCCTATCAGGCACTGTCAAAACAAGAACCCCCCTGTAAAACGTATATTGCAAGGACGCTTTGACCCTCTCTGTTTTCTACATCCGCCAAGGTTTTGGGGCCATGCGCTGCCCAGATGCAACCCACAGGTCACTTTCCTTCGCTTCTCTCGGTCTCTCATTCCTTTCCATGAACCCATAAAGTTGCCAAAGACCGTTAGAACCGCCTTCTGTCTTATGGCGCCTCCTTAGTCTAGAGCCATTTTTGCGCTGACCGAGCTACCCCTATTTTCCTTTCCTTTGCAAGAGACCAATGGGCAGCACTAGCCAATCAGACAACACCGAACACTGTCTCACCTGGTCGGTTCATCTTGTCGTTGCGCATACATGAATGGCTTCGTACAAACGAAGCAACGTATCACTCCGTATGTGGTATGTCGTACACGCTCTATCAACTGCCGAGGTTCCCGTCCAGACCAAGAGTTCAGTACTCTCTCAAGCAAAGATGGGAACCACCAGCCTATGTAAGGTGGATTCAGCCGCACCCAAACACTTTGCTTTCAGCTCTGTCAAAAGTGTGGACGAGGCTATTCTTGGAATGTCCGACGTATTGGATTTGCAGGGATAATAGTAAACAACCTGGGGTTCAGCTCTGAGAATGCTGTGCCACAAACTGACAACGGCGCTACAAAACGTTGGTGCACACTTGGTTGCGGGTGCGGGCCGCAGATGCACGTTCGTTGATGCTGCTGTGACAAGGTTATCCCGAGTTGCGTGCGGCGTCTTACATTTGTTAGTGGTTGACGTTTCACAGAACGACAGGATGACGTGAAATAACATGCGAAGAAGCTTTTAATCATGATTCAAAATTGAACCACGAGAAGCGGCCAAGAGCGGATTGATTATCGACAAGACTGGTTATGAAAATCCCTCTCCATGGCATACCAAGGCTGTGTCACGCTCCCGTGAAAAGCGTTGCAGCCGATGGCGAGAAAGATCATTCTCAACCAGCAACTTGAGCAGGAACATCTAGCCCCCTAGACGACTCATAGCATGGCACTCTAGCCGCGGAAGGTCTTCTTGATGTCACCGCCTTTTCGAGCAGAGACTCTAGGGTTGGGGCGCCGCCGTCCTCGTAGATAGGGCCACGTCGCAGGACCTTGACAAGCCGCAGGTGGTGGCTGGTGTGACTGGTGAATGTGAATATCGTCCTTCGAAGTCCACCACGACACTGCGATGCAATTGACGACAGACTAGACGGCTGTACTTGAGCAAAAACGTTATGGACGCGAGTGTAGGAGCTAGCAATATCGCTTGTTAAGACCAATGCAAACGGACTCGATACGAGAAGACAACGCATACCTATGCTGCGCGGCCGCTCAAAGGAGAAAAAAAAAACACATTGCAGGCATGCAGGCACTATGAAATGGATCTGGATCAATAGACAGTGAACCATGGTTCGTGCCTTAGACAAAGTAGTACAGAGCGTGATGGCCGATCCGCTCGTCGAGCTGCTGGTATCAAATATCGAGCCTGATGCAAGGCCTGTTGCCCCACTGGGAAATCGAGGGAGGTGGTACGAAATAAAACCTAATGTGCGGGATAAGATAGCAATGTCAATGATCCACAGGGCCGGTTGCAAGCACATGAGAAAGAAAGTGAAACATAATCGAGTAGGTACAGATGTTCATGTACCAGTGGTGAGGTCGAAGAGGTCGTTTATGGCTGGCAAAAGGGGGATCGAACTAGGAAGAGAGCTTGGGTTTCTGTCACTAGATCGTAAGCCCGCGATGAAACTTGCTCTTGACTGGCAACATCGTGATGTGGTGATGAGCCAGTTTTCTCGGTCGAGAACTATCACATAACACAGGTTTTGGATTCACAACACGCGCGGTAACGCAGTCTTGTAGATCAGTGAATGACGAAAGCAAGGTAGTACCAATGCATATTGTTGAGGTGTGGTCGAAGTTGCAATAGTGAAGGCACCTGCGTATTAGGATGACGAAAAACGTACATACTCAATAATGTAGGCGCGTAGAAAGGGCGCTGGAAATGAAATATGTGCCGGGCATAGACAGCAGGCAACACAAGATCTGGGGCTAAATCTGTTTCACAGTAGGAAGCCCCCGATATCTTGTACTGTGTACGGAGTACCGTATATTGCATTTGCGACGTCTCTCACTCGTAGATCATGAGACCCGGTCGTGGTGGCCCGTGGGAGGAATCCAAGGAACCCATTTAGACATCGATTTGGATGGAAAGAATAGTATATTGTCGTATGTAGAAGCCGGTCTCGGAGGCCATTGCTAGAGGCATAAATGGCTGCTATGGTTGGCTCGATTGGTTAGGCGTGCTCGAGATAAAATGGAATATATCTGATGGGAAAAATAGTGAGAAAAGGGACAAAACATAGCTAATGGCGGAGCTGCTTCGTGTCGCGTCACACAGTGATGTAGCCTTTGTTATCAGGATCTGAAAAGGGCGGCGAATAGGAAGAGAGGGGACAAAAACAAAAGTTAGATAGGGTAGGAGGACGGTGCAGAGTCCTGAAAAGAGCCCATATTTCCATATTCGATCCTGGCATGAAGGTCTTGGGGACGTCGGGGCCATGGTCCAAGACCACAGGCTCGAGAAGCCCGAAAGTTGAAAGCTGTGCAATGGCGATACTGAGGTCTCAGCGAGGAAAGTTGGTCGATGTCACGCGATAGTGAGGCAAGATATTCCTCGCATCTGATGAGTCCAAATAAAAGGAACCGCGCGTGGGGTCAGATGCGGGCGATGATGGTCATGGGGCCAAGGCCATGACGAGGTCGGTGTCCAGGTCGAGGAAGGCACGTCGTTGATCGGAAGGTATGGGATGTAAGACGAAAAGGGAAGCTACGATGAAGCGCGACGAGGCAAACTGAATACGTGTGCAGCTGCCCGGTTGTGGATCCCCACCACGTCTTAGGAAAATAAGAGGGAAGGAGCCACCGGAGGGATATGAGGCATTAAAGGAAAGTGCGAGAGGTAGGAAAAACAATGCTGCCTTGTTATTGTGGCAAGCGCGACTGCTGTCGGTGCAGTCAGTTTCTAGATGATAATATAAGGAAGAAGATAGAGAGCAAAGCAGAGGAAGCAACAAGCCGTGTCACACAGAGGCCTTGCTACCATCTTGACCAGCACATATCGAGGACAGACGCTTTATTCTTATTTCTTACTGCTACTTTTTCAAGTCCTTGTCACCGGCTGCTTACGATACTCTGCCTGAGCATCTACGCGTTTTCTTCTACATCCCCTCTCGATCTATTTTGCATCATCGATCTCTTTACCGCTCTATAATTTCGTATCATCTCGGATTTTCATGGATCAATTCAACCTTTTATCAATCCAAGCCGCTACCACCTGCAAAATGTCTCACCTGCAGATGGTTTGCCGCGAGTGGGCTGCCGTCCGTGCTGCATCGAAGAAGGATGGTCAAGTTGTATCGGTAACTGGTGGAGATTTGACAATTGCCGATATCGTGGCTGTTGCCCTGTGTGTTTTAGCCCGACCCCCTTTCCCATGCCAGGTTTGTTGACAAGATAGCGTGCTAACATGCCGTTGTTGTCTTCTAGGTACGGAATTCCCGCCCAATTAACCACCAACGAGACCGTCCGTGACCGCATGACTGCCAGTGTTGACTTCTTGGCCTCCAAGCTCAACGCTAGTGAGGTAATCTACGGTGTCAACACGGGATTTGGTGGCAGTGCCGACACACGGACCCAGGACTTTCACCGGCTGCAGTCAGCCCTCATTCAACTTCTGAATGTTGGTATTCTCCTGCCCTCGGACAAGGGACAGGTGACGTCCTCGACATGCGGTGCCGTAGCCGCCGACGTGGACATGCTCGTTCGCAGCCATGCCCTGCCGCCTGCAATTGTGCGTGCAATGATGCTCGTCAGAGGCAACTCTCTGGCCCGTGGCCATTCGGCCGTGCGTGTCGAGGTCGTCGAGTCGTTGCTGCACCTGCTGGCGGCCAATATGACGCCTGTTGTACCTCTCCGAGGCAGCATCTCAGCTTCGGGTGACTTGGCACCTCTTTCATATGTGGCTGGTACCCTCGAGGGCAACCCGGGAGTGTATGTGCGGTGGCAAGAAAGTGTCGTTCAAGAGAGCCTCGGCGGCGAGATCGGGCCACCTCTTGGGAGCTCAACTCGTTACCTTCCCTCGGATCAGGCCCTCAAGGCCGCCGGCCTTCTGCCTGTGCGGCTGCAGGCCAAAGAAGGTCTAGGCATCACCAACGGCACGGCTCCCAGTGCTGCGGCCGCATCGCTGGCAGTGTACATGGCCAACCAGATGGCCGTCTGGACGCAGCTTCTGACGGCCATGAGCACCGAGGCTTTGTCTGGTTCCGTCAAAAATTACGATCCATTCATCTCCAGCGTGCGACCCCACTGTGGACAGATTGAGGCGGCAGCTACCATTCGAAGCTTCCTGCAGGGCTCGGTGCTATCCTCTGGAGAAAGGGAGCCCGCTCGCGCTGGCCTGGCCCAAGACCGCTACGCCCTCCGCACATCGCCGCAGTGGATTGGTCCTCAACTCGAAGACCTCGAGCTTGCCACACTTCAAGTTGCTACCGAGCTCAACGCCACCACGGACAACCCGCTCATCGACGTCCAGTCGGAGGACCAGACAGCCGGTGGTATAATTCACCACGGCGGCAATTTCCAGGCAATGGCTGTCACGTCAGCCATGGAGAAGACGCTGACTGCTTTGCAAAATCTGGGCCGCCTGCTGTATGCTCAAAGTGCGGAGCTCGTCGACAATTCCCGCAACCGCGGACTTCCGCCCAACCTGAGCCCCGATGACCCCAGCACATCATTCCTTTGCAAAGGCTTTGACATCAACATGGCCGCCTACCAGGCTGAGCTGGCGTACCTCGCACGGCCGATCAGCAGCCACGTGCAGGTTGCCGAGATGGCCAACCAATCGATCAACTCCATGGCGCTGGTGGCTGCTCGCTATGCGCTCGAGGCAGGCGAGGTGGTCGGTCTCATGGTGGCCACCTATGTCTACGTGCTGTGCCAGGCACTGGACCTGCGGTGCATGCAGCGCGAATTCCGGGCGGCCGTCATTGAGAGTCTATCGAAGATCATCAAGGATATGTTCGTGTCTTCGCAGGACAAGTCCATGCTTGGGTCCACCCTCGCCGACGATATTTTGTTGCAGCTGCTCAATCGCTGGGACGAGCTGTCGCACCTGGATCTCCAAGCCCGTGGAGAGGCGGCCGCACGCGACATCTCTGGTACTCTTCTTTCTCGAATGGTCCAGCTGACTCTCGTGCTCCCCAGTGGCATGACGATCTTCGCGTTCCAGGAACTGGTCACCATGTGTTTAGTGAACGCTTATACCAAGATCCGGGAACAGTTCTTTGCCAAGCGGGCACCCGCTAGTGATTACCTCAGCGCAGCGTCGCGTGTCATCTACGAGTTCGTGAGACTCGAGCTCAACATCCCTTTCAACCGCGGCATCGATGACCACCCGACCCTGGTGGCTGAGAAGCAAGCTGCGGCCCGTGGCCGTACAGATGGCCACGCAAACGGCATTAAGAGTGCTGTCCAGAGCGCGGACAGAACGCGCATCCTCGGCACGATGGCGAGCGAGATCTACATGGCTGTCCGCGATGGTCGTTTGTTCGACCGCGTGGTCGCCTTCTGCGAGGAGACCAAGCCGTGGGGCGACGCCAAATGATTTTTTATGGTGAAAATGGGCAGGCACGGACCACCCTTACAAGTTATTCACTTTATTTCTTTGCTTAACATATCCCATTTAATGTCGTTCTTGTTATTGTTGCTGTGCTTTAATCTGGTGGTCAAAGGACGTGTTTTACTTTCGCTTCTAATTTCTTTGATCATGATCTCTAGTCAGCTACGACGCATCTCTATTAACAACAAAAATAAGGCGTGGAAGTGATAAGAGGAAAGGCTAAAGGGCAAAAGGTCGATGTGTAATTACACAAAGCAAGTTGTTAGTTTAAATGGGAGTTATAATTTTCACACAGCCGGTTCATACATCAAACAAAAACAAAAGGTCAGTATAGGGTATAAGAAAGGATAGCCGTCCGTTGCCAGACATGTACATGGAGATCATGGCCCTGTGTGCGCTTCCTGAAAGTACAAGTTCACAATTTCATAACCCCCCCCCCCGCCAAACTCCTTACACACTTCCTTCCACTTAAATAGAGTGTATCGAATTGATTTCCACGGCAGCTCAATGAGTAACCTTGTCTTCGACATGCCTTGAAAGAGAGTGAAGGCTCACCATTCACTTCTTACCATGCCACGGAAGGACGGTAGCCAACGTAGCTCGCTGGGACGCTGAGATATCGTTCTTGTTTGGTTGCAGCCACTGTCTTTGGCTGTTGGCCCGGAATTTGGTCTTCATCTCCTCCATCAGCTGCCGATATTCCAGCAGGCCCTTCTCCATACGGCGCTTCCAAGTTTCGGCCGAGCCGCAGATGATGGCAATGCCTCGCAGAAGCAATTCGCACTTGACATAATCTTCCAGAGGAAAGCCGGTGCGGTCTTGCTGGCGAATAAGTTGTTCAAAATGACAGAAGAAGTCCAAGGACGAGTTGTATTGAGACGGCTTCATGAGGACGAGCTTGCGGGTCAGACGCATGGCCTCGCCGACAGCCTCGGGCCGCTGGGGGTAGTATTTTCGAAGGTTCCGGAATTCGCTGGTTATCGACATCTTGACCATCACTGGTAAGTCTGGCGGTGCTATCGTCTGACGGCGGTCAGTTCGTGGCGGGTTGTCTGTGACAGTGGCACCAGTCGAACGTGTCTGTTGTGCTGCCGGTCTCGGTGGAGGAAGCGCGGGAATCTTGAACATGGTGGCTGTTTGAATAACATATTGCTGCATACGGTGCTTGGAAAAGTTATAAGAATGGAAAAGGGAAAGTGTGGAGGGAAATGTTGAATTTAATAGTCGGCGTTGAAAATGATTCTCGTCGGAAATGTGAACCTAGCTGTCGGCTGTTGCTGATTATGACACTCTTTTTTTAGCCCCTTCAAAAGAGTGTAAAACGTTGACGCAAGATAGTTCAAACTGTGCTTGAAGACTTACTCGACAAATACAACATCCAACAGCACGCTAAGAAGAGGTTTGCTTACACGCACCTGTTATGTCACGGCAAACGACATTAGCCAACTGGATATTATATGATATCAGTGACACATGTGGGTGAAGAGGTCAAGAAGAGTGAATATACTTGGATGCGGCCCATAATTTGACCGGATTGTGAGAAAATCTCATGAGAAGATAGATTTCGGAGCATGAGGACGGTGACAAATATGCTAACATGCGATGCAGCAAGGGGACACAGTATCTACGACATCCTGAACCATACCCGTATGTCCAATATTTTAGTACCGTGCCGTTGTAATCACCCACTATACGTCAGAAAGAACAAGTAAAAACATAAATATTAAAAACTAAAGAATACAAATAGAGTTGGTATGTTATCACATGAATATTGTATCTACACATATACTCTAAAGAACATTAGCAACGACGTGCTTGGCATCCACCGAGAACAGTACGACGACTCATTGAATGTGGATCGTATCCCGGTCGAAATAGACAAGCATTCATGATTATTTACTTTGTCACGTTGCTGCGATTCAACTGGTCGTCTTTGACCCGTCATGTACTCACGTCAGATGACTAAGTGAGGCACGTGATTGTGAGCTTTCTTGGGAATAGAGTGACCTCATTGGTTTGTGGCGGAAGGGAGGGCGGCCGACAAAAGCGACGAAGCTGGGCGGAGGGGTGGCGTCAGCGTGGGGCCTGGCCAGGCCTCTAGCCTGATGGCCCGGCTGCTGGAGCCTTTGAGGGCTGGATTGGCGCAATTGGGCTCTCGCCGGCTGTCCGACCCCCGCGTCACTTTGCGCGAGAGGAGAAGGTGCGGTGGTCAACGGCGTTTGCCTGGCGTGGCCAGCTCTTTCCCCTTCCTGCCTTTTCCCACTGTCCCTCATTTTGCCTTTGCTGCGTTTCACACGGCAATTCTCCTTTCTTTTTTACTTTCTTCCAACCCTGTATCTATTTCTATCTCAAAATTTCCTTTGTCACCTCACATCCATCGACTTTGCCCTGCTTCCCCACTTCTATATGAACTCGCGGCTTGTGTCTCGTCCCACCCAAACGGCTTGACAGACAGGCAAGGATACTTCCCACTTCGAAGCCAATCGCTCGAACTACCAAAGACGAGAAACGAAAGAAACAAACGATAGACACGACATAGCATACCCTCAGCACTCGCTGCACCAGCACCAAGCACCGTTGCCCATCATGTCGTTGTCGTTCCGCGGCGTGGCCGTCCTCAAGTTTGTCGGGACGGTGTCGCTTGGCCTCTTGACGGTAAGATAGCATCTCCGACAGCGGGCGCACGTCATCGTCACACTGTCGGCGTCAGCATCATTGTCGTTGTTATCGTGAAACTAATTGGCTGTGTCCCTAGGGCCTCTCCTACACCCTCTCCACCGTTACTGTCCCTACCCTCCTCACGCTGCCCTCGGCTCGCACCGCCTCCAATGCCTTCCGCAGCCTGAAGGACGCCGCCTCCGTCCAGATTCGCACGCTCTCGACCGTCGCTAGCTCTGCTTTCCTGGTCGCGTTCTTCACGTCGCCCCGCGCCGTCCGCCACCCGTACCTCCTGTACACGGCGCTACTTGTCATCGGCGGCCGCTTCGCCGCCTCGGACGCTCTGGCGCCGTACCTGTTCTCGTCCTCGTCGTCGTCGTCTTCCGGGAACCCGACGACAGATCCGTTTGCGCCGTCGTCGCCCCTCGGCAAGGACCTGCGGCGCAGCGGCTCGGCCTTGTCCACCTCGGCATCTCACATGGAGGCCAGCTACGAGGTGTTGGGCTCGGCGACTGCCGGCTCTGTGTCGGGTGGTTCAGTGTCGGACGCGCACAGCGACGGCAGCGCCGGTGATGACGCTGATACGCCCGCAGCCGGTGCCAACGGAGGCAACGGCTCTGCGGGTGTCAACGGTGAAGAGGTGCGCGCGGCTGTCGAGACGTTCCTGAAGCGGCAGATTGTGCGCACGGTGACAAGCGGCCTCGCATTCGGCATGGCCATTGTCGGCCTCTGGGGTGACGGCCTGCGCCGCGTGCCGGTCTGGAACGAGACGATCATTGTTGCGTAAAGAGTGTTTTCACAATGCACATCACCGGAGTTGCATTTGCCTTTGTTTCTGTTTGTTTTATTCTCTCTCCATTAATGAATTTGTGTGAAACTATCTGGGTTCGAAAAGTACCCGTATTTGTATTGTCATTTGCCGCTGAACCTGTCTCCCATCTCTTTATCTATGTATGTTTTTATGTTTGATATCTTATCTCCAATTTATTTTAAGGCGTTGAATCCGGGGTTCATCCATTACATACATCTCAGTTGCAAATGGGTAGTAGCATTCTGCATTGTCCCGTTTGATGTTAGCTGCGGTTTAATAACAATAGAACAAGACGATTACAAGCACGCTTGATACGTAAAATGTGCTGCTGGTGAATGTCTGAGCTTGGCCTCGACGTCTCACACGTAATATGTATGCTTATTTGGTATATTCAAAAGTACAGATTTGTGTAACGAAAGAATGACTTTCGCTCTCCTATCGTTATGCATTATCTTTCCCACTTGGCCCACCCTCCCATAACCGTCATGGATCTCAGTCCAGCGGTAGCCGCCACAGGCCGTCGCCCAGGTAGTGTGCATCCTCCACCACGGGGCCCTTGCCCTTGTCCTTGACCTCCTTCGTGTCCGCCACCAACAGGCCCACAGCACACGCCTCTTCCTTGCCCTCGGCAGTAATAACCACCGGCTCGCCCTTCTTGAGCTCCCGGCTCCAGTGGCCGTCCGCGCTGACCTGCTCCGGCTCAATGTCGTGCGGCTGTGGCAGCCGGCCGCCGGGGCTCGTCAGCCCAGGGGCCATCAGCGTGGCGCCGCCAAGGACATAGCGGATAGCACCGCGGTCGATGCGGATGCTGGGGAAGGCATGAGGAAACCGGTGGACGAGACGCAGATGGGGCAGCAGGGGGATGTCGCTGCCTGGCTTGCCCGACTCGAAGAAGAGGGGTTCGGAGTCGAGGACGTAAAGGACGGCGCGATCGGGCAGCTTTATGGACTGCAGGGACGCCTTCTTAGGGAGGATCTCGTCCGCATAAGGTGTGAGGAGTGGGTAGCTGGACAGCAGCGACTGACGGAGTGACCGTTGAACGGACGACTTGAGTTTTTGCCGCGGCGCGGGCGGAAGACTGGTTGGATTAGCAAGGACGCGACGTGCAGAAAAGGGGCAGTCAGCCGACAAGTCACGCAAAACGGACACCTACTCCTTTTTGAACATTGTGGGAGCTTTGGGGTGGGCGATAGGACGTGACGAGCAGAGACGAGAGAACGATATCTGTAGTCGTGCCCCGCTACTGAAATTTCGAGGGCACGAGGCACGCGTCGAGTTGCGGGCGCTGCACCAACCAGCCTTTATCGACGGCCGCGGGGTAGTTATTCAGTGGAAGTGCGCTGGGCTGCTTCTGGAACGAGACCGTCTCCACCCGATCGATTGCCCCATTAATTTTGAGTGGACTGCCTGCAACTGGCGCTAAAAAGTGTATGATGTACGAAGATTGAGTAAATGGCCTGAGAGCCTCGAACATAGACATGGGTTGGCAGCTACGAAGAGAGAGGCAAGAATAGAACATGATCGTGAATGAATTGTCTGTTTGCTATGTATACGCTGGCATGGCTGTGCCATGTGCCTCGCGGCCATTCAGCAATTGCTCGCTACAGTTGCTGAATGCTCGCAAACGAAGACGTGTCCGCTCTTGCAGGGCCAGGAACGGCCTGTTCTAGGCATCCTGTCTTTCATCGCGCCGTCTTTGCTTAACCGTGGTGCACCTTGGCCACCGTGCCATCCTCGTTGAGTGAGATGTTGAGACGATCAGGCGAGACATCGTTGGTCGCCGTCGCGCCGTGCGGAATCACACGCGCGTTCTTCGGGAGGTCCTTCTTGGAGAATGCCTGCCATTTATTGGTTAGCAGTCATTGATGAGCTCATGCCAATCGTTCCTACCATCGACTTACCGTCTCGTTCGAATCACCATCCGTCAGCGTCTTGCCCAAGAGCTTGGACATCCACTCCTGCGTCTTGTTGTCGCCGAGGTTGTTGGCGGTCACGCCGGGCACGACGAGAGGCATGGTGGGTATTTGCTGTTGACAGGGCGTATAATAATAATAAGGAAATTGTGTTGCGTCTGCAAATACAGGTGTTTCTGTGATGTGGGTTGAATTGTGTGCTGAGGTTAAGAAGTGGATGGGAAAGAGGGAAATCAAAGCTTTCGAAGCGTAAATACAAAAAGTCGGCAAGTGGTTTTATGTCTGGGATTGGCACCTGCCTGGACAGGTGCTGGGAATGATGACGTCGCTACGTGTGCCAGGGCAGGAGCCACCACCTAGACACGCACACTTTATCTAGATGACTAAGCTCCACCAAACTGGAACAAGACGCAAGAAAAGATTGTGTGTCAATATTCGACTTTTCGTTTTTATTGAAAATATACAGAAGCTAATAAAACGACAGAAAGACGTTTGTACAACTGGAAAGTATAAGGGTCGGGTCGCAGTAGACAAAACTTCGAGTATTCCTTGGACACGCTTATTATTAAATTGCATGGGATATTACAACCTTAAATGTGTAAACAAGATCAAAAGTCCTCTTTAAAGAGAGCCCCTCCGCCTCGCTGATATCGAAACACTCAACAGGTACAAAATATACTCCAAGAAGCAAAACTTGTAGGTGATGAGTGCAGTAGGGGTATAAGAGGGCAAGTGTGTTGATGCAAGAAAGCAACGGCCCAAAAGCAGAATAACAATAATATCAAAATGGACAGAATGGAGTGGATGTGCAGCGACCAAAAGATGAACAAATGCAGCGGGGATCTTGGAACCAGTCCAAGAAACAGATCTTCCCCGTCTCCAAATATGAAGGCAAGATATAGACAAACTGATTTTGAACACAAAACAGAAATGCAAACTGATATGCCCAAACAGAACCACAACACGAGATGCTCAACCATAATTGTCATACACATTACAAATTCCAAGCTCGCTGCGCGGATACAACCGTAAAATCCATAAGACGCCATCCCAAAATTACCATGGGCAAGTCCAATAAGATGCCTGAGAAACCAAAAGAAAAAGCAAAAGAGAAAGGTGACAGAGAGGAGAGGTAAAGGCCTTGATAAAGACAAGAGAGAAGAAAGGAAACAACAGAGAAGAAGAGTGGGGGAGATAGTAAGGGTTCTGTTGTCACACGTCGACGAGACTAGTTGCCAGTGATTTTGCGCCACCAGCTGCTGCGCGGTGTCGTGTCCACGAACACAGGGTCTTGTTGGCCGTTGCGTCCGTCGCTACCGTCAGAGCCACCGCGTCCTGTGCGATCGCCACGGTCAGCGCGCTCGCCACGGTCAGCGCGCTCGCCACGTTCACGCCGTTCGCCACGCTCACGTTCGCGGTAGGACTTGTCTTGCCCGCGCTCACGAGCACGCTCCTCACGACGAGCACGGCGACGGCGGTCATCCTCAATCTCTGCAGCTGTCATTTCCCCATCATGGTAGCGCTGGCTCGTACGACGGCGTTCGCGGCGTTCCCGACGTGCTCCGTCATCGTCTGTGGGCGTACTACCGTCGCCGGCAGCGGCAGCAGCGGCCGCGGCAGCAGCAGCGTCTTGCTCAAGTGGCGGTGGCGGGGCGTCTGAATGCTCTTTGACCCACGAGGAGGTGCCCGAGTGCGGCCAGCTAGGTTTGACGGCACTGCTGCGCTTTTCACGGCGTTCCCGGTCGCCACGTGAGTAAGCCTGGTAGTCTTCCGTGTCGGACTGTCTGCGCGATGTCTTGCCTTCCATGTCGCGGGACACACGACGTTCACTGCGGCGTTGTCTGCGCGCGTCGTCGCCTTCGCGTTCGCTCTCCCGGGTAGCCTGGGAGACGGCTTCGGCCTTGCGACGCTCACGACGCGCTGCATGACGCGCTTCGGCATCGGCATCGTCGATCTGACGCTCCATTTCGGCACGTTCACGCTCCTTCCGAATGCGACGACGCTCGGCACGCTCGTAATCGGCACGCTCACGGTCAGCGTGTTCGGTCGTCTCGCGTTCCTGCGCCGCACGTCGGTCGCTTTCTTCACGATGGCGCGCGCGCCGTTCAGCGCGACGGGCCTCGCGTTCTTCTTGTCTGCGCGCTTCTTCAGCCTCTTCGTGTTTGCGGCGGCGTTCGCGGCGTTCCTCATCTTTAGCCCGGCGTGCTTCTTCGGCGGCGCGTTCAGCGGCTTCTCGTTCAGCGCGACGTGCGCGACGTGCTTGACGGCGCGCTTCTTGGTCGGCATCTGTCACGTTTCCACCGTCTTCCACATCGGTTGTCACACCGCGGTCGCGGCGGCGGCTACTGCCGCTGGGTCGTGGTTCGGAGCGAGGCACGGGAGTCTCCGGTGTAGGGGTAGACGAGATCTTTCCAAATAGGCCGGAGAATCCGGAACGCTTGGTAGAGGTCGAGTTGGAGCGCTTGAAAGGAGCCACGGGGAAAGCGGCAGCGTCGGTCGTGACGTCATCTTCGTCTTGGCGGCGGGCCTGAGCAACGAGACGCGCTGTTAGTAAAACGTTTCTGTTACGTGAAGCGTCTGGGGTCAGCCGTACCTTTGATCTACGCCGCTCCAATTTGTCAGGATTTGCACCATCCACACCAACACCCAGGATCTTGGCCGCCTTAGACGACATCTCGGCAGGTTCGGGTGGGGGCGAAATGACACCGTGAGACATGTCGACAGAGTTGCGCCGCGAGCTGCTGTGTCGCTTCTCGCGCGTTGAGGTGGATCGTGATAGGGGCGGCGTGCTGGTAAACACGCTCTGACGGCGAAGCATCTTGGCGGGCGTCTCTTTGATGGTACCCTTGTCTAGCTTCATCGAACGGTCATGGTCGGCTTTGTCGGACGCGGACGATTCTTTGGAGGAGGACGCCTTTTCATCTCGTTCGCCAGATACCTTCCTAGAGCTGCTGCTCTTGGACTCTCTCTTCGATGAGGAGCTTTGGCGCATTTCGCGACTCTTGCTCGAGGACGAAGGCTGTGGTGTTGCAGCAGTCCACATGCCCCACGACGAGCTGCCATCGCGGCTAATCTTAGCGCGTTCTTTCTTTGCGGATCGAGACTCGTGCGGTGGGGTTGTTGGATCTTCGGGAACGGCTGGGGGAGCAGGAGGAGCCGGTGGCGGCGGTGGCGGCACAGCTTCGACCTTGGACTTGGACTTGCTGATGGTGCCCTTCTTTGATTTCTTCGTCGGCGCCATGTCTACAACAAGCTCGTCGTCGTGGCTCTGCTTGTTGGCGTCGTCAGCGCCGTCATTTTCCTCGACGGAGAAACTCAGCGGCGATGTGAAGGACCACCGAGAAGTTCCCTTCTTCGTGACAGGAGCTGACGGCGGGGGACTGGGTTCACGCTCTTCTTCGACGACGATCTGCTTGTCTTTGGATTTGGACTTTTTCTTCTTCTCCTTCACTGTTTCTAGCGCAGGAGGAGGAGGCGGTGGTGGAGGGGTAGGTTCTTCGTCAACAGGAGCTTTTTTGCTGTCGTCGGCAATGGATTCGAATATTTTGAGGCGATCGGAAATCTTGCCGCCGACCTTCTTGACTTTGGAGGAAGACGCGGTAGGCGGCGGCGACGACGCGACGACGTCCCTGTCCTTATCCTTGTCCTTATCCTTGTCCTTCTCCTTTTCTTTGGTCGCCTCCGCAACGGCACTGCCCTTTTTGGAGCTCTTGGACTTGGAGCTCTTAGCGTCCTTTGTCGATTCCAGAACCTTCGCTGACTCATCTGCCATTGTAGCGTCCGCCTCGGCTGCTGCCGCTTTGGCGCTAGCACTAGAACCCGTCGGTTCAGGCAGTGAACTCTTGCTCTGTGTCATTTTCTTGGCCGTGCCCCAGAAGCTGAAGGAGTCGTTTTTGGGCGCCAGAATCTCTTCGACCTGTTCAGGACTGAGGTTGATGAGGTCATCTTCGAGGTCTTTGAATAAGTCGTCGCCGTCGTCACCGTCCTTGCCCTTGGACTTCTTGTCTTTCTTGCTGCTCTTCTCCTTTTTCTTGTCTTTGGAGTCCTTGGAATCCTTGTCGGCATCCTTGTCCTTCGACTTGGACTTGGACTTGGATGCCTTCTTGGCAGCAGCTTCGGCCTCGGCCTCTTCACGCTCGCGCTGGGCTTGCTCTTCCGCTTCGCGGGCCGCTTGCTCCTCGGCCTCCTTGGCAGCCGCCTTCTCTGCAGCCTCCGCGGCCCGCTTTTCGGCGTTTTCGTTAAGTAGATCGAGTTCGCGTTGCTCTTTCTTAGTAAGCTTGCGGCCGCGATCTTTCTTGGATTGGAGCGTCGTGCGCTTTTCTTCCTCCTCGGCGATCTTGGCCTCCTCCTCGTCGCGCGCAGCCTGCTCCTCAGCTTCGATGCGTGCCTTTTCGTCAGCCTCGCGCTGTGCTGCCTCCTCTGCCTCGCGAGCAGCTTGCTCCTCAGCTTCGCGAGCTGCCGCTAGTTCGGCCTCCTGTGCTTCTTGAGCCTCTCTTTTGGCCTTCTCTTTCTCTGCCTTCTTCTTCTCCTTCTCAAGCTTTTCCTGCTCTTTCTTGGTCAACTTCGGCTCCTTCTTCTTTTCCTTTTCCTTCTCTTCCTCCTTGTCCTTTTCTTTATCCTTCTTCGACTTGGACTTGGATGGAACCTCGTCCCAGATGTTCTCCTCTTCTTCTTCCGGCGGTGGAGGAGTCGGTTCGCGTGGCAGTGGGTCTGGCTCAGCGTTCTTGGACAGCTTGCTCTTCTTCTTTTTCTTCGTTATCATGCCCCACTCATCTTCAGGTTCGTTGGCTGGCTCCTCGACAATGGGTGGCTTTTCCGCATCTTCGGCCACCTTGCCTGACTTCGTCTTTTTAGAAGACGTTCCCCATCCGCCCCACAAGTCGTTGGTTTCATCTTCCGGAGCAGGTTCGTCGGCGGGCGCATCTTTGGTATTGTCGATGTCCTTCTTCTTCTTTTTCTTGTCGGTCTTACTAGAAGAACCCAAACTGTCGAAAAAGTCAACGTCGTCGTCGGCCTTTTTGTCATGAGGCGGGTCGTCGACCTTCTCAGGCTCGCCCCAGACATCGCTGGTGGCCTTCTTAGACTTCTTGGACTTCTTTACTGTTGTGCCCCAATTCATCCAGTCGTCGTCGGCAGCAGGAGGCGGATCGTCGGCAGGCTTGATTGAAGCATTGTCACCATTTGAAGAGGCTTCATCCTTGCTCTTCTTCTTCTTGTCCTTCTTGGTTGTAGTAGCGCCCCAAGTGTCCCAAGAATTGTCCTCTGTAGTCTTGCTGATGGAGGCGCCGTCACCGTTGGTAGAGCCATCATCTTTGCCCTTCTTCTTGTCTTTCTTGGTCGTAGCGAAACCCCAAGGATCTTCTTCTTCCTTTTTCTCGGCCTCCGGTTCGGGGGTTGGCTCATGCTCCGGCTCAAGCGTGCCGGCGTTCTTCTTTTTCTTCTTGTCTTTCTTCGACAGGCTGAGACCCCATGCATCGTCTTCAGGCTCAGCCTTGGTAGGCTCTTTTTCAACTGGCTCGGGCTCGCGTTCGGGTTCGGGTTCGAAGACAATGGCATTCTTCTTCTTTTTCTTTTCCTTCTTTGAAGTAGCAAAGCCCCAAGGGTCATCATCAACCTTCTTCTCCGGGGCAGGCTCAGGTTCAGGCTCACGCTCACGCTCTGGAACCGGCTCAGGTTCCGGTACAGGCTCGACGACAAGGGCATTTTTCTTTTTCTTCTTGTCCTTTTTCGAAGTGGAGAAGCCCCAAAGATCATCCTCAACCTTCTTTTCCGGTTCTGGCTCAGGCTCTGGCTTTGGGGTTGGCTCAGGTTCTGGCTCGGGCTCTGGTTCTTTGACTGGCTCGACAACAGCGTCCTTCTTTGCCTTCTTCTTTGATTTCTTGGTCGTTGTGCCCCAAGCGCCCCAAGGGTCTTCTTCAGCAGGTTTCTTCTCGGTCTCTGGCTCCGGTTGTTCCGGTTCTGGCTCAGGCTCCGGAGCAGGAGGATCAGGAACCACCTCAACAGCGGCGGCACCCTTTTTCTTTTTTTGTCCTTTTTGGTGGCGGTCGTGAAGCCCCATGGGTCTTCCTCCATCTTCTTCTCTGGCTCAGGGTTCACTTCCGGTTCAGGCTCCGGTTCTGGTTTGACTTCTTCTTTGACAGAGTCGACGATGGCGTCCTTCTTGCTCTTCTTCTTTTTCTTGGTGGTAGTCGTGCCCCAGCCAAAGTCATCGTCAATCTTCTTTTCCGGCTCAGGTTCCGGCTCAGGTGAAGGTTCAGGTGTAGGTTCAGGTTCTGGTTCGGGTAGGGGATCTGGTTGAGGTTCACGTTCGGGATCTAATTCCTTAAGTTTCTTGGTCGCAGACGCCCAGATGCTGGAAAAGCCCCATCCTTTAGAAGGAGCAGGCTCCGGTGCTGGCGGTTCGGGTTCCTGCTCGAGCTCTTTGACGGGTTCCACAATGTCACTCTTCTTCTTCTTGGACTTTTTGGCGGTAGTCGTGAAGCCCCAGGGGTCGTCCCCAACCTTCTTTTCTGGTTCCGGTTCCGGTTCCGGCTCTGGCTCCTTGGGTGGATCGGGCTCGGGGACGACGGCGACTGCAGCACCCTTCTTCTTCTTGGACTTTTTGGTGGTCGTTGTGAAGCCCCAGGGGTCGTCCTCGACCTTCTTCTCCGGCTCAGGCTCGAGTTCCTTCTTTTTGGAGTCGGTCTTGATGGAGACAAACGAAGGGAACATGGAATCGGCGGCATGCTTTGCGTCGTCTTCGGCAGACTTTTCCGGTTCCGGTTCTGGCACAGGATCGGCTGCCTTGGCACCCTTCTTCTTCTTCTTGCCGGTGATTGGAGCGCCCCAGCCAAAGTCAAAATCGTCTGTCTTGGTCTCTTCTGTAGGCGGCGGTGGTGCTTCGACGACTTCCTCGACAACACCAGCCTTGGACTTCTTGTTCTTTTTACCAAAAAAGTCAAAATCGTCGTCAAAGGACGTCGTGGCCTTCGCGGGCTCTGGCTCTGGCCCTGGCTCTGGGTCTTTCACAGCGCCAGCCTTGGCCTTCTTCTTTTTCTTGGTCGTGACGCCCCATCCAAAATCGTCTTCGACGTTCTTTTCCGGTTCAGGTTCGTTTTCGGGAAGAGACTCGGAAGGCTTTTCGTCGATCGTCTTTTTCTTGGTCTTCTTACCGAGGCCCCAAACGTCCCAACTAGACTCTTCCTCCTTCTCTGGCGACTCTGACCCCTTGGGAGGCTCTGTTACCGGCTCTGGCTCGGGAGGATCAAAGATACTGCTGGAAACGTTGTTCTTGCCGACCTTTTTCTTTGTCTTCTTGGACGTCGCCATGCCCCATGGGTCGTCGGCAGCGGGTGCGGGCTCAGGCTCCTTTGCGGGCGGCGCATCCGGCACCGGATCATCGAAGAAAGAAGAGGTGGTGGCCTTTTTCTTCTTGTCTTTTTTGGAGGCGACAGGAGAGAACCAGTCATCTTCGGGCGGCGTCTCCTTTTTGGCTGGTTCAGGTTCAGGTTCGGGGTCCTTGGCCTTCTTCTTCTTGCTGCCGATCGTGCCCCACTCACCCCAGGCGTTGTCCTCCTCCTTTTTCTCTTCGGTAGGGTCGTCGTCGCCCCAGAAGCCGGACTTCTTTTTGTCTTTTTTGTTGCCAAAACTGAAGCCGAAGCCGTCGTCCTCTTTTTCGTCCTCCACTGGAGCCTTCCCGGTAGGCTCCTCCTCTTCGCCGAAGGCGCCAAAGCTAATAGTTTGCTTGGTCTTTTTCTTCGGCTTTGGCCGATTGATGCTCCATGGATTGGAGTCCTCTTCCTTCTTCTCTTCCACAGCAGGGGCAGCCTTTTCTTCCGACTTGCCAAATCCCCACGCGGAACCCGTGTTCCATGAATTGCCCCACGTGCCAAAGGATTGTGATGTTTTTGTCGTCGATGAATTGCCTATACTGAAGTCCAATGTCGGTGTTGTGTCGGTCAGTTTGATTTCTTGAAAGGCATCAAACTCGCCAGAGGGGGCGATGTCAGGAAGCAGGTCGTCGAATTTGGAGGTGGCCTTCTTGTCGTCGTCTTCAAGCGAGAAAAGATTGGTCTTCTTGTCCTTCTTCTTCTTGCCGCCTACTGCGGTAAAGTCGCCCCATGGGTCGTCGGCGGGTTTGTCGTCCTTCTTCTCATCGTCTTTTTTGTCGTCGCCAGAACCACCAGCGCCACCACTGCCCACGTCTTTGTTTGCCTGGTCGCCGGCGTCCCCTTCCTTTTTCTCACCTTCGTCACCACCACCTCCACTACCATTGTTGTTGGTGTCGGCCCAGTTGAACTGTTGCGTCGGCTTCTTCTTTTTCTTTGCGGCTTGCCAGAAACCATCGGTGGAAGAAAAGTCGATAAAATTCATGTTGGGATCGCTGAAGAGGTCTCCAGAGTCTTTGCGACCGGGGTGACGAGAGCCACTTGCCGCTGTTGCCGGTGGTTCACCACTGGGTCGATCCAAGGGGTTTATGCGCCGATCTGGGACGGCATCGATGTGGTGGGGGTCGAGAAGGTTGCCGTCGTCTTCTAGTATACCGGGCTCAGAAGCGCAAGGAGTACGCAAATCACGCGCCCATTTCGGGGAGACGCTGGGTACAATAAGGCGCGATGCGTGACACCGCTCTCTCGGTGGTGATTGTCGCGCAATCGCAAAGGGGCTCTAATCGCAGAATAGCGTCAGCAAACATTGACAAACCAAAGAGAGCATGCAGCCAGTGAGCATATCGATGCGATGAAGTGAAAGGGAAAAGGTAACGTTTGATTTGGGGTTGCGTGCCGTTTTGCGCGACACGAGATTGATGCGATGCGCCGGGGCGCGTGCCAGCCAGCCACGCTGATGATGGCTGGCGATTGGGAAAGGGGGGTGGTTATGAGATTGAGGGGAAACATCCTTGTATTCTCCGAAGGGGCCTCCACACCAGACGCGACATCCCCCTCGTTTAGTATGTTGCGTAAGAATAGCATGGCAAAGACCGTTTCCAGAATAGGTGTGTTTCAAACGACAACGTAAATGATATAAGAGACGGTGGTTCGAGATACACTCTGGGCAGAAAAGATACCACCTGATACCAGGCCATCACCAAGCCAGATTGGATGGGAACATGTTCCCGCCCAGTGTGAACAAAAAAAGGCTGTAGGAAATGGATAGAGAGAGGAAACGAGAGCGGTGGAAGAAAAAGGACGTCTTACTCGTAGTTGAAGCCAAGTAAGGGCTATGGTATGAAAGCGCACGCGCAGGTCTTCGGCTGACCATGGCAAGCGGTCGGTGTCGATGTTGGTCGTAATAGTCGCATCATCCCACCCAGTCGTCCTCGTCCCAGGGTGGATTGTTGTTTCGCAGGCGTACCCGGCGTTTTTTATGGCTGCGCTGTCGGGGCGCGACATCAGGACATTGGCCGCGGCCATTGTGAATGTCTTGCAGGCTGACGGTATACTCGGGCGCAAATGTCAAACTCATGGACGCAATGGAAATACGAGAGCCCGCAAGACTCGACGTGTCTAATAGCGAAAGCGAGCAAATGGGTGGGGGGGGATGGATGAACGGCAGGGAGAGCGAGGGTTTCGAGATATGGGATCGCAAAACAGGTGGAGTCGGTATGCTGTTGTCGGTGATGTCGAAGTTGTTGCGAGAAGACGTCGCGTTCGGCCTAAATGTTAGAAGATTCAAAACAAGGTACATCCAAGCAAAGTGCGCTGGACGGCGGAAAGCGTCGCACGCAACAAACGCCTCAAACAATAACGCGAGAAACACGAAACAAAAACGAACGATAAAAACAAAGTCGAGAGTATACGATATAGGGGGAATAGGGGAAGGGGCAAGAAAAGCGAATAGCCCAGAGTCCGGTGAGTTTCTGCAACGCGGTTCGCTGGAGAAAAAAAGTCAGTTTTGCTTTGCGGGACGAGTGCGATCTTCTTATTTAAGTAGACTGTGTGTTTGTTTCTGCTCCAGTCTGTTCGTCAGGTTGTCTTGATGTTGCCTTCTTCCGATGCAGCTGCAAGGGCGGCGCAGGCTGAAGATCTTGCTGGGAAAGGGGTGGGTGAACAGGATTGGTGGTTGGCTCTGAGTCTGAGAAGCATTGGGAGGGTTGATAATGGATATGAGAGGACCGTGTAAGGAAGGGAGGAAACCAGAGAGGCAGAGGCGTGTGGTGGAGGGAGGGAAACGACGGGGAGAGGCCAGACGGCGAGGCCATGGAGGGTGACTCTGTGTGACACACCTACTGCGAGTATGGAGGAGAAGAGTGCAGTAGAGTTGAAAAGGGGGTGAATAAAAATACAAAAGATCAAATAAGAAACAACGGTGAGTGCCGTGTGAACCAGTCAAGAAAAAGTCAAATGGTGGTCCGACGAGTGGCTGGTAGGAGGGGCAAAAAGTGACGACGAAAACGTAGAGGAGCTGGGCTGGAGAAACCAAAGGTAGACCGAATAGCTGGGTCAAAAGAGGCAAAGGCGGTACATACAATAAAGAAAGGGTGTCTTGCAGGTCAGGCGCGCAGGCGTGAAGTCAAAGAGAGGGGATCCCAGACATGAAATCCAGTTTATCGGTGATAGAGGCGAACGGGCAAAACGACGACCAGAAAGGATAAGCAGGAATGGATGGGGAGAAGGGGGCGCAAAGGTGTGGGTGGAATAGTACACGCTTGTTTGTTTGAACTCAATAGGAGCGGGGATTTGGACAGGACAGACAGAGCAGTATGTGGGCAGAACATGAGCATATTCGACACGAACGAAAATCGTAGGAAAACATACCGGAGGCGTGAGGCGGCTGTTGTCGGCCGGCAGTGTTGTGAACGGTGGGCGCCTGCGTAGCCTCGTGAAGACACAACAGGAGGCGTTGCGGAAGAAAAGAGGCAAGAAAAACAAAAGCAAATAAGCAGTCCAAATGCAAAGCAAAACAATAAGAATCCAGAGGCGCGAGAGAGGCAGAAAAACAAGTCACGCTCAAGAAAGGCAAACCACCAAACGGGTTATGTCGAGCACACCTGGAGCCGTCTGCTTGCTGCTGGTCGTGGGCGAAGCCGACTACTGCACGTCTGCTGCAGGGTAGTGGGAAGCGGGAGCGCAACAGGGTCGTCGTTCGTAGCGTGGGCGGCGGGCAAACGTCGATGACGCCCGTCTTCTCTTCGTCTGCCTTCTTTGGGGGTTCTTTCGTTCTTCGTCTTCTATGAAATGGGGGCTGAGGGCGTCGTCTTCCGTGAGACGCAGGTTCTTCTTCGGTTCGTATGCGCGCTGTCTTCGTTGCTTGTCGTCTGTTTCCCGGGATGGGAGATGTTGTTGGGGAGAAAAGAGAAGAAAGAGATGCAAGCAGAGCGCGGGAGAGGAAAAAAAAAGGTAAGTTACTTGCGTCGATGGGCGGAAACTGGGGATGGCCGGGAAGGCACCCGCGTTTGGCACTTAGTGGGCTCTCTATTTGGTGCTAGGTACCTATTTTCCCAGATATTTTATTTTACTTCATGATTCGGGGGGCGTGGGATACGACTGGGGGCTGCCAGCGGCCACATGTTGCGTAATAAACTGTCGGCCAGCCACACCTTCCTAAAGAAACAGGACGAAAGAGAAATCGAGGCAGAAGCAGGAGACAGAGCCTCTTGAGAGTACTTGGCTCTCTGGTCAAGGAAGTAGCCTCGCACACCCTCTTTCCTCGTCTGTTCCAAGACAACTGGCAGGGAGAAGGAAGTTGTCGGATGACCCGCTGGATTTGGGGGTCATTTGGCTGATGCTTGCCGTTTATGGATGTCGTCTCTCTGTCTCCTTCCCTGTGTTGCGGTCTTTGCGCTGATCGCGCCTGCCCAGTCTCGCCCAGTCTCGCCCAGTCTAACCGTCTGGGAAACAGCCGGCGATATCGTTTTGTTTTATTTTTACAGGAAGGGCCAGGAAGCTCAAAGTGGGCAAGGACCCTGTTGTCGTTTCTCTCCCTGGAGCTATCGGCGGCACCTGCCAGTTTTGCCTCCATTCAGTGTTTTTTATTAGTTTTGCATCTGTCTAATTGCATCCTACTGAGATGCTCCGTAATTTGGATCGTACGGATAAAAGACAATTGACCAGGGCGTCATAAATAGATTTTAGGGAGCTCATCATTGACGATGCGTCGCGACTTCAATAACTTACCTTTTTTTTTATGGTCTTCAAAAATAGTACGTCACCCCTCAATTGTCATGTCTCAGAATAAAATTTTCATCACATTTTCCATCTCCCACACGGCTCCTCTCACGAAACCCTCAAATCCACCCCCTGCCCTTGCCCTACTCGTTGCCGGGACAGGACTCTTTGGCGTCTGTGCAGAAGGTAAATATGGGGGCACGGAACGCAGGACGTCAGAGACGAGATAATGTCATTATGGAGAATGTCGTATTACAGATAGCGACCGCAGCCGATCTTGGGAAAGGAAACAACCGAACGACGTAATTACGAGGTAAGGAAAACTTCAGCTGAGTTTGGCCAGAAAAAAAACTTAAAAAATGCGGTGGCGGGGGCTGCTTCAAACAGCCGAACCAGGCTTCGGGACGAGCTTCCCTCTACCATGTCTACGAGAGAGGGAACGACGACGTCGTGAGGACGATGTCGAAGACTGCCCAGGGGCTGAAACGCGATCATCCCGCGCCAGTTTGACGGAGCAGTGCGCGAACCGCCAACGACAAGACAGACCTGGGTTGTTTCGCTTCCTCATTGCTTCCATAGACATGAACCTGCGGACTGACCGCCTCGCTCTTTTTTTTTGGCTTTATTCTTTTCCTTTTTATTTTTTACACGACCTCTATTTACTCGTATTATAACAGAGAGGCCTAAAATGGAACATCATAAAACGCGGTCTGCAAATCGCGTCGAAGTCGCGTTGGACTAATCAAGTCAAAACGACACTCGGGACGGGTCGCTATTCGCCGCTGCACCGCCGCGTGGCAAATTAGAGTCCCGGTCATATTGTGCATTCCTTTGTCCTTTCGTCCACCGCCTTCTCACAGTCTACACCTGGGTATTGATACATCCATCGCTGGGCAGCGATGCGCCATTAGTGGCGGCTGGCCGTACCCATACTTGCTGCTAGCATGCGATGCCACCTAGCGACACATACTGAACAAGCAATGCGGACTGGACTGATCTGGTGTTGTCGCCCGGAAGCGCCTGACAAACGTCACTGGGGGTCAAAGAAATGTGCGCTACGGAACAAGAAAATGTGGACCATCAACGCATTGTTGCTACAGAGTGGCATGACGCGGTTTATCTGCGCAGCGACATAATACGACGTCTCTGTGAGGTACTCGTAGGGCAGGCTTGGCGTGGCAAAGGTTTTCGATCCTAGCCCATGAGAAGACAGCCGATTCCACCCGTAACTGGCTTTGCGTATGTCGTACTCCGTATTACATCTGATAGCTCTTGAAAAGAGCCTGTGGTATCACAGGGCAAGCACTCGGCTGTCATTATTTATCCAAACTCATACTCACGTGCTATTTAGTAGACGCCGGCCACCTGTGCCGCCGGCCATATTAACTACCTCTCTTTTTACGTCTGGACCGGTCTGCGGCCTGGTTCTCCGCAGTTGGGTAGACTTGCTTCCCAAGAATACTCGAAGTGTCAATGGAACATCTGGACGACCACCGCCGAGGGTCGTCCAATCGATCTCTTGCCTATCGGAACCCATAATTGCCCCCGCAGACAGCAAACGGCAATGTTGCAAAAGAACACAACAGAAGCGCAGAGAAAAAAAGACCCCCCCCCCCAAACAAAAAAAAAATTGAAATATAATTTTTGTCTGCGCTGCAGCTGTCCACGCATAGCTGCTGGCAGGAAAGAATGTATATTAAAAAATTGAGGTGGCTGGGAAAATTTGATGAGAAAAATAAGGCCGAAAACAGACCAATTGTTTAAACTCCCGCATTTCTTTTTTGCATTACTCGCTGCTTTCTCTGATGGCAACCCGTCCGTCCCCTCCAATACCCATCCAGTGGACCGTCGACTGGCCACCAAACGCTGTTTGGCTCCTTTGGTTTTCATGCACATTCCCGCTTGGCGCAAAGCTTGCTCGCCCAAAACAGCATAGCGCCTCGCTCACCGCTTCATGGCAAAAGGTGGGCAGGTTGGTTTTGGAGAGGTCGGAAATGCAGGCGGGGGAGGCAAGACGAAGAAGAGGCATGAAGAAGGGAAGAGACCACAAAGAATGACAGGAAAACGCGAGTGTGACGCGACGTACAGCAAACAGGTTACCACCAGAAATGCGGAAGTGGGATGGTAGAAAAATTCAGCAGGTGAAAAGAAAACAAATAGAGGGGTATTGACATGGTTGTATCGGCAGAATTTTTTGCTTGCGTGAGATCATCATGACTTTTGTTTCTCACCGCCTCATGCGGATATATGCGTCAATGGCTGAGATGGGACTCTCTTTTCTTGCTGTTCTGTTGGCAGACATTTTGTGTGCATCGTCGAGGGAGGCAAAACATACAAGACCCGCAACGTGGCAGAGAAGCTCTCTAGAGAGAAACAAGACCGGGCGACGGCAGGGCATGGCATAGTATAACTGCAGCAACGCGTCCAACACACCCTGCCCATATGCAAGAAACATACGTTTTGGGCATCAAGGCAGCCACGCGTAGAAAGTATACACGACATTCGTACATGAGAGCGCGCTATCGCCGGTTTCGGGCCGCAGGAGTGCCAAGAGAGAGCGGCGCTCCCGGGTGCCGGTCAAGGCACCATATGGCAGCTGCGCCGAGACAAAACGGCTGTGTGTAAAACAAAACGGCTGTGTGTAAAACAAAACGGCTGTGTGTAAAACAAAACGGTTCGGGACCAAGGCACATGCCGGCCAGTGTCCCGGCCCCGGTATAGGTCCGCGTGGACTAGACTTTGTTTGAAGCTCCGGATCAAGCTAACGGCCATTGGTACAAACATGGCAACACAAAGGCCCTCTTTCAGCGAGGGGAATAGGAACGGGCAAGGGATGATGGATTCGGCCGCATGCGAGCAACGGGCTAACAGTTCAAGTATAGTGCGCGCATATTAAACCCTGAACAAGGAGAATGGGACAAACAAGTCGCCGTCCAACAAAATATGGAAACACCATGCATCGTAAGTTGCAAATTCGCAATTGTTGGTAGAGCTTAGCCAAATACCTTGAGGGCCTCACTTCCAGGGGATAATGAACAGGATGCCTTTTGAACACACAGAAGCCGCATTGCATACAAACTGGAACGAAGGCGCACTCAACCTGTTTGAACAACGGAAACACGATGCAGCCACAGTTCATCATAACCGTCAAGTGTTGATAACGGCTGTTGGCCGCAGCACTTTTATCTTGCGGATAGGTGGCTGACGCAAGGCTAAATTTAGAAGGCATAACGCGCAGCCACTGGGGGCTAGGCATTGCCTGCAGTTGGCCAGTGGAGGACTGCCTGAGCCACACACACGGATCTGTTGGAAGGACCCCATGAGAAGCGAAATACGTCTGCTTTTCTGTTTCTTTTTATTTGGGGGGGGAGGAGGGGGGGGGGTCAGTTTTGTTGCTTCTATTTGTTCACATTGCCAGCGCTCTTGCCGCAATTGGACGACTACTTCGCTCCCTGTTTCAGGTCAAAGGGGGAAGGAGGGGAGAGGGAGGCGCGAAAGGATCTCTGAGTCGGCCAACGGAGGAACTCGAGGAAGGAGAACCTAGTTTCGCCTGACACCGCGCCAGCTTCCTTCGCGCAGTCGCAGAGCGACGAAAACGGCTGGGCAGCTGCTCTGGCTGTAACTCTATCTCATGGACTTGCACGTGCGGCCTCTGAGCCGACATAATAAGCTTTTTTGAAGTGCTGCGCCGGCGCTTGTTGCTTTTTTGGGGTCCCGCGTTTAGGTTTGGAAGGCGCGACCGTTCTGACCCTCCCGCTACGACAAAACTGCTAGCTACCTTTTTAGGGTGGTCGCATCGCAAACATCGTGCTCGAGGACAGGCCCCTCTTCTCACGCCCAGTTTCTCACTCCCAGTCAGCGCTCACAAATCTCACCTCGTTCGAATTTCGCCTTGAAACTACTAGTTCTTCGTTGTCTCCTGTTTCCCCTGACCTTTGCATCATTCCTGCCAATCCCATCTGGCCCAGCGCATTGCTCTGCCACAGTGACATAAAAGCAACCTCCAGCCGCCAGGAACCAACGAAACAAAGACAGGGTCAGCCTTTGAAACAAATAAAGAAACAGAAACAAAAGGGGACGGCTGTCAAGCCGGCTCGGAAGAAACATTGAATACGCAAGTCGAACAGCGAGACAATGCGACGTGTCTCAGCGCAGACTTTCTAAATCTGTCGACCTTTATATACTCTCGACGCCAGCGTCCTCTACTGCGCGACGATCGAGCCTCTCTCACGCTCTCGTCTGTGCATTCTTACAATACTCACATACAACCAAACTGCCGACTGCTGTACCGCGTCTTCTACCAAGAGCGGGCTTTCATCGCAGGCACAAATTTGCGCCAAACACCTCACGTCCGTCGTCGGCACATCCATCATAAAACCCTCTCCCGTCTCCGCCAGAATGCCGCTCCTCACATTCAATCTCTCGTATCCGCTGCCTGCCGAGTGCCAGCCCCAGCGCGTCCTTGATGCCCTGCACCGCTACGAGCCGCTCATTACGCCCAACCCCTACTTGGCCTCCTGGCGCCGCCGGCCCGTCGACCTCACCGAAATCGTCGACGATCCCTTTTTCACCGAGGATGGGACGGCGTTGGCCGCCTTTGAGGTCGTCGAGAACATTGTGCTCGTGCCCGGCGTCGCCTCAAAGGATGTCGTGATCCCGTGCGTGATGCAGCGGTTTGCCAACGGGGTGCGGTGCCGGAGCTTGGCGATGGGCGGCGTGCGCGTATGGAGCACCTGGCGCGTGCTGCCCGCCGGACAGTTCACATCAGACAGCCCTACGCCGCCGAGCAAGTCGTCCAGCAAGTCGTCCAAACAGTCGTCAGGGCGCACGTCCCGAGACGAGGCCCGACGGAGCCGGAGCCACTCCCCGACACCCTCTCCAGCGCAAGCGCCTGTCGCCGCGGTAGCATCGCTCGCACAAGCGCCAACACCGCCAGCAACACCACCGACCGTCGACGGCCACAACCCTGCTGCTGCTGCTGCTGCTGCTGCTGCTGGTGGAGCTGGCGTTGCAGCCGGAGCTGGAGCTGGAGCTGGAGCTGGATCGGGCGACGTTGTCTTCCCGGCTAGCGGGGAGGGCTATGAGATCGTCGAGGAAGCCCGCGTCGAGTGTGGGTCGCTTATCAAACCTTTTGTCGGCCGCAAATTCCGAGATGGCCACATCGAGATCTTACGCCAGGTTGTCAAGGCCGCTCTTGCTGATGCGGAACAAGCCAAGGCCAGTTACGTGTATATGTGAGAGCGTCCATTTCTCTGTATTCGTTTTCTGTGTTTCAGAGCTTTGCTTGTTTTCTTTTGTCCTCGTCGTCTTCGATTCTGTACTTGCTTGCAAATATATGACAGCGAGACAAGATATATCCTCCTGTATACGCAATGGGTTTGGGAATCCCTGGTCAACATGGTCTGCACATGTTTGCGGACAGGCTTATTCTGCTTTGATTTCTGTATTCCGTATTCTTTTTTATCATTCTTGTTTTCCTAGCGCGGTAATTTCATCCAGTCGAGTACAATCTTGACAACTGTGTAGCCGTTTGTCTCCTTGCGTAGAATGAAACGAAAATTTCTTCCGTCTTTTGATCCAACACCCCCCAGATGCCGTTTACTGCTTAATGGTGTACACCAGCTTGCCGCCGCTAACCTTGTCAGCCTTGAGGTCCTTGAGGCCGTTCAGCACGCCCTCAAAGTCCGCGCCGCCCTGGTTAACGTACACCCGAGGCGGCTTGATCTTGCCCCCGTCGATCAGCTTTTGCGTCGACTCCCAGAACTGCCGGGCAAACTGGAAGTTCGTCGGGTTGGCCTCGAACGGCATCCACTTCTCAAACGCCTCGCCGAACGCCGTGTAGTACAGCGACATGCCACCGCCGATACGCGAGTCAATCTCCTGCAGCTTCTCGATCGGGTTGGCAAGCAACTGGTAGTACTGCAGGCTGTCTGGGCCGCTGGCCAGCGACTGCGGCGTGAGTGCCATCGCCTTGGCGCAGAACGCCCCAGTCTCAGGGTACGAGATGCAGTCCCAGGAGTAGCGCAGCGCGCCACCGTTGAGGGCCTTCTTGATCTCGGCCAGCGCAGCGTCCGTGTCGTGGTAGTCAACGACCACGTCCGCGCCCAGTGACTTGAGATATTCGGCGTTCTTGGCCGACGCTGCGGTCAGGACGCGGTAGCCCGACAGCTTCGCGTACTGGATGCCCAGGATGCCCGTGACCGCGGCACCGCCGTAGATGAGAATGTTCTCGGGCGTCGTCAGCGGCTTCTCAGGCGAGGCCAGCTTGAGGCCCTGGTACAAGCCCTGGCCCACAGTAGTCACTGCGACTGGCAAGCTGGCAGCATCCTCGTCAGACAAGAAATCAGGGATCTTAATAGCCAGGTCTGGCTTGACGGCAATGTAGCCGGCAAAGGCACCGTCTTCCTTCTGCACCTGGTTTCTACATTGTTGATTGTCGTTAGCAAAGCCATAGCTTCAGTATCGCCAGTATCGCAATAGCTCGGAGCTAGCAACGTACGATCCGTGGGCAGCGCCGGCAATGCGGTCGCCGATCTTGAACGGCTTCGTCACGTTGGCGCCAATCGCAACAACGACGCCAGCATAGTCACAACCCACACGCGTGCCGGTCGGGTCACCGCCCATCAAAAGGTCGGCCGTCTTCCAGTCCGTGGGATTCAGCGCCACAGCGGTCGTGCGGACAAGGACGTAGTCATCCCGCAACTTGGGCGTTGGCACGGCGGGATCCAGGGCGATGTCGCCCTTCCCACGGACAACAACGGCCCGGGTAGTGGGAGGAATGGACGAGGACATTTTGAACAAGAGTAGTCCTGTAGGAGCGTGGAGTGAAGCTCAGCGTGTAACGGTTCGATCTGGAGTTGGCTGCGTTAGAATAAAAGGACTCTTGGTTTGGCCATGACGTTGAAGAAGCGCAGACGGCGGGGGAGGTCAAAAAGGGGGGACAACATGGGAAGTGGAGGCAGTCTAGAAGGCTAGTCGTGCCATGGGAAAGAGCGAAGCAGGGTCAAGACATTTGTCCAGGGCAGGAGGGAAGGAGCATACTGAGAATAGAAGGAGATAGTTTTCGAGGTCTCCCAACAGAAGATTGCGTTTCGTTGACACCTTTAAGTTTTCTTTTCGTCTACAAAACGGACGGCGAGCGAGGGGGCAGCTCTTTCTATATGTGCTTTCTCAGGTCATTGGGAGGGTCCAGTTAACTTGATATCTGTCTGATTGCCCGCGGCCACTCTCAGAAGGAGTAGACGCAATTATGATTAAACCTGCTGGAAACGAGACGCAAGCGACCCCGCCGTTTCGTCTGCATGGCACGGCAAAAGGATGAACCGTCGTTGTGATAGGCGTTCTTTCGATGTGAGCTTTGGTCTGCGGGGTGAATCTCTCCCAATTAAGACTAGCACTGGGCTTCCTCGTGGATGGCTGACTAACAACCAGCCAATGACGTAGTACTAAATCGGCGAGAGATGATGCAACTGGAGGTGCGATGATTATTTACACGACAGCTGCATCAATTTACGGGAGAAAGTCAGGGGGTTGAATAAGCTGAATTGCAGTTTCACCGTTTGGGCGTGCAAACAGATGATTTTTGGGTAAGAAGACAGTCTATCATGATTGCATCGGGTAGATGTCAGGCCGTCCAAAACCATTTTACAGGTTAGGAATGGACTGCGATTGGATGCGGGGACGAAGAGACTGTACGATTTTCTGTATCGGTTTTGCTGCTGGATTTGTTTCTCGAGTACTTCAGTTCTCTTTCTCCGTTCTACTTTAGTTTCTTCTGTTTTGAAAAGAAAATAAATTAATAAACAAATAGCATATTGAAAAGGCTTTGATTTTTAATTATATGCGCGTATTTTTGAAACCGTCTCGCCTTACCAATCAGCACAAAAAAGTACAGCGCCGCCGCTAGATAAAGTCCCCGAATTAAGAAAGCACCTCATCTGCAATGGAGCACGTAAACTAGCGCCAAGGTAAGGAGGTACCTGTTGTTAACGATCCCAGATCTATGGAAAAACTACTTTAGCTCAGTACACGTTGAACACAACAAGACATCGATATGGCTTGATCCCCCTCAACTCCCCTTGATTTAACGCAGAATGTATCGCAAGAAAGAAACAGCTCCGCCAGACCGTTGAAGCACAAACTGAAAAGAGATATCGCCAAACAAAAAATATCGCGCAAGGACGATTGTGATATGCTCAGCGCAGTATCCAAATAGCTCTGAAAGAAAAGGCCCAAAATCCAAATATAGATGTAACTAAAGGGGGTTGTCCAAAAGAAAAGGGAAATAAGCAAAGAAAGCAGCGTTCTATCAACCAATCCCGTCATACCCAGTTGAAGCTGCTGCGTGCCAAGCGTGAAAGACGTTGAGTAACAAAAAAGGAGCCCCGAAACAAGAGGGTGTCGTTAAAAGCCAGAAAAAAAGGCCGAAAAAAGCCGACGTCATAAAATGTCCACAAATGTCCACAAAATATCAAAACCATACAAAAAAGGAACGAGATAAAAGGCTCTTGCTGCATGACAGCTAGCCGCTGACCTCTTACTGGCCACCGAGGTCTGAATTGTATCCAATATCGCCATAGTTCTCAGCCATGCTGCCTTCACCGAAACCGGTGCCCGGGCCAGAGACATATCCACCGTCGTCGGCGTCGTCAAAGTCGCTCGCATCAAAGCTGCTGCGTCCGCTCATGTCGTCCTCCATACCCGAACCGTTGCCGCTCATGTCAACCTGCGACCAGTTGACCTGCGCGAGTGCGGGGTACTGTGCCAAGAGAGCCGCTGGCAGAGCGTAGTTGCCCGCAGCGTCCATTGGATAGCCCGTATTCGGGTCGATTTGCGACGGCGGCTGTGCCATCATCATATTCTGCTGCGCAGCTGCCTGTGCCTGCATGTGTTGTTCCTGCCACACACGCTGGCGCTCCATGAACTCCTCGTCCAGCAGCGGCTTGATGCAGATGCGGCCCGCTTCAGAACGGAAGTGGCGGCCCAGGGCGTCAGCACGGGCAAAGCGGCGACCGCAACCCCACTCGCCGCCCACCTTGAGATCACCCTTGCAAACAAACTTCTTCTCGCCGCTGTGCAAGCTCTCGTGGCGCTTCCGATCGTGCTGGCGAGCAAAGGCCTTTCCGCAGAATGTGCACACAAAGGGGCGCTCGTCGGTGTGTGTGCGCAAATGCGAGCGCAGGTTGTAGGCGCGTGTGAAGCGCTTCGGGCACAGCGAGCACTGGAAGGTCGCCGGGTGCTTTTGTGCGCGTTTTGTACCAGCGCCCGAGACTGCGCCGCCAGCTGCACCGGCCTCGCTAGAGTTTGCCGCAGCAAACTCGGGGTCGGCTAGACGGAGGGCCATAATGTTGTTCGGGACAGCGGACGTCGACAGTCGGCGCCGGTTGCCAGCCACAGCGCTTCCAGATCGCTCGAGCGGCGACAAAGACCGCGAAGCATCCGAACGCGGGCTGGAACCGACATTCGGCGACAGGCTGCTGACACTGACGTTGGGCGATGCACCTCCACTATATGGGTCAGTAATGGCACGGCGTCTGGCACGACCTAAACGATTCATGTTAGCAATCGTTGCATTTTCGTCTGGGATGCAAAATCTCGGTGTACGTACCACGTTGCTCAGGAGGTGTGAGGGCGTCAGTGTCAATCATGGGCTTGCCATCAAATATGCCCCTCGACGCGACTGTTGTAGGCGCGAAGTCGATCTCAATTGTGGGCGCGATTTGTGGAATAGCCTGTGCCACGTCGGTACTGGTTGTCGGCAGCTGAGGGAAAGCTTCGGAGCCAGAGACGGCGCCGTATGAGTATGAGGCGTATGCGCCGTCGGTGGGTGCTTGGAGAATAAAGCTGGCCGGCACCTGGTTCACGTCTGTCACGGACTGAGGCTGAATGCGCGGGGACACGGCAGGGCTGTGAGATGGGCTGCGTCCCACAAAGCCACTCGATATGCTGAAGCTGCTGATGCCGTGCAGCTCTTGATAAACATCACCATTCTCTTCTGTGCGCAGCATGGGGGAGCTCTGCTGGTGTTGGATGGACTCAGTGAAGCTGTCCTGCCCGACGATGGATGGCGAATGGCCGCCAATGGATGATGCATCTGAGTATTCTGACGCGGTACGGCGATGGCCTTGGAAGTGCGGCGCATTCCAGTCGTGCATGAGCGCCGCCTCCGGCGCCAATGACGTGTTGCGCGAGTGCCGGCCGACAGGCTGGATAAACTGGTGGTTGTTAAAGGATGGTGACTGGTGTGCCGAGCCCGGCGCAAGGGCGTCCACGCCGAGCAAGTGCGGCGGGGTAGGGCTGTGGTGTGCCTGTGAGGTAGCCATGGTGTTGATGTCTGTGTTTACAAAGGTATCCTGCTGGTGCTGCTGCTGGTGCTGTGGTTGCTGTTGGTCAAACAGAGGGGTAGGGGGCTGGTCTGCCGACGAAGTGGGGAAGATGGTGAAGTCTTCGTTGGGGAACGCTTGCTGGGGGTCGAGGAAGCCCTGGCCGTATGAGCCGGCAGTGTCAGCCTTAAGTTGGTCAGCGAAGGATATGTTGGGGTCAAAGGCAAGGTCCTGCTGCTGAAGACTTGGTGTTGCTGTAGCAAGGAAGTTGGCTGCACCACCGCTGTAGGCAGAGAGGTTGGCTTGAGCTTGTGATGTGTCGAAGACTGGTTGCGATGACGAGTCAAGAGCTAGACCCAACCCGATAGAGTTGGAGTTGGAGACGGCGGATTGGTAATTGACATCCAGTGCGCGGGCAGGTGAGTGCGATGGAGAGTGGCTTTGCTTTATATCTAGAGCCTGTTGATCAACCGGGGCAGGCGACCGGCCACGGGAAGGCTGTATCTGGTCCATGCTGGAAGATGCAGTAGAGGGCTTTGCACTTGGGTATATGTCTAGGTTGTGTATGCGAACAGTGTATGGTGCACTCCGTTTGGTGTGGCGCGTGGTGTGTATATGCGTGTGAGAAGGGCTAGCTTGTCTTCCAAATTCTATTCTTGTTCTGGGGTGGGTATCGGTTTGAGACTTTTGTGCTGCTTGGGACGCAATGCGGGACCCTGGTCAGATTCGCAGCGCACCAGCACGAACAGCAGTGCGTTGTACGATTTGCGGTCGACGGTATCGCTTGGCGATTGCGGGAGCAGGGGGGGGTGCAACGGTAAGAGGACGAGCGCGAGTGGTCGTTTGGTATGACGCTTCGTGTACGGAGCGTATTTGCTGCGCTTTTGCCTGTGGTTTTGTTGTCAGGTTGGTTCCAGTTGGCCGGTCGCGGCATGCATAGGAAGGGGCCGGACGGAAACGCAAAGCATCGGGACGAGGCAGACTTGGGCAGATTTGCCAGTCAGCCTGTCGCAAAGAGAGTGGGGAGTGGGAAACTGTAATTATTGTGGCAGTGCTAGTGGTGCGGCGGGGCTGTGCAGAGAAGAGAAATGCTGACAGGCAGCGCTGTACAACAGTCGTCGGGCCTATCAGGGCGCCGCGCGGCACGAAGATGAGACACTAAATGGGACCGTTGGTGCCCGCGACTCGATCGACCATAGGGCAGAAGGCGAACCCGCAGTGAGGAAAGGACAAAAGAGGTAAGGAAGCACCAGAAGCGCTGGAAACACGAGAAAAACAAAAGGCGATACCAAATCGCTGCACTGGCGGGCCACCTTGACATGGTTATGGGCACTAGGGACGAGGCCTAGAGGATGCCGCATCTCGCTGGTCAAGACTCGAGGGGGTAGATGAGACTATCACCGACAAGGGAACAGAGTAAAATAGTATCAAGGTGAGGCTGTGCTGCCTGTGGGGCCGGGAAGTTACCGGCCGATACTGTGCAACATAATACATCCCGTGTTTGATAAGACGGGGTTCGCAAAGCGAACAGATCGGGCTGGACAGACGGCATGCAGGATAATGAGAGTGAAATAAGAACGGATTGGCGAGGCTGGAGATGTCGGAAACATCGGAGAGAAAGTAGGACAAACCTTGGATATTTTCTGGGTCTATTTGTCTCGTCGAATGGCTTGCGACGTATCCCAAGACAAGATGAAAATCTAGGCTAAAATGGAATAACCGCAGCAGTCGCGAATGGCCTTGAGAAATTATGTGCAGTGCAGCGTCGGCCGCAGTGTTGCACGGGCGTATCGAGAGTTGATACTAGGCTGAAGCCGAGCTGGTGTCTGGTGTGCGTGTATGATATTCAAGATGGTATGGGCGAGATCTGTACGGACCGGGCGTGAAAGGCTCGACTAGGATTTAGCCAGATGTACTAGAACGTGCCTTGCGTCCGCCCGCCAGTTAGATTCAGCTCCAGATCCCTTTCCGAATGAAAAGCTGAAGGTCTGCCACAGACGCAGGATGTGTTTGCAAGTGCCTTCGCGTCCGACGGAAACAAAAAATATAAAAATAACCGAGGCCCGCGGATCGAGCAAGTCCAGATCAAAAATAAATCATAAACTGCAAGCAGTGCAGGGCAGGTGCAGTAGCGTTGCGGAGTCCTGTGGGATGCGCGGCAGGGTGATGTGGTGAAGACTGGCACGTCGTGATCGTTTGGCGGAGGTTGGAAAGTGTGGAGGGTCGCAAAGATAGCTGGCGTTGCCGCTTCTTTGAGGCTTATCCCAGGGAGAGCCGCGGGGGAGAAGGCTGAGGTGGCGCCGCGTTTATTTCGGCCAACGTGGAGCTCGTATCGGATAGGTCCTTGCGATCTGGTGCATACGTTGCTCGAATGATCGAGTGTCTACCCGGAGTTTTTAAACGGTTCTTGGCCGGTTGTCTATCGAGCCTCTTTCACAATAGGCGTGCGCAACGGTTTAGACGAGGGGTCAAGTTCGCGCTGTCGCAAACTCGCAGATTGGCTGGCGAGCAGGGGTGGCAGAGACAACTGATGGCGCAAGCAAAGCGTTTCTCTTGGTCGCACAGGTGTAGCCAGACGGGGGTGAGGATTGACGTTACAGGAGGAGATGTAGGAAGGGGGAGAAGACGTGAGAAAGAAAAGGGGGGAAGATGAAAACGAGAGAGAGAGTCAAGGTGAGGTTCTGCAGGGCCAAAAACGGCAGGTAGGGCAGTGGGGGAACGCCAAACGAAAAGAGAACGAACGAGGGGAAGGAGAGACTTGGAAGGAATGGCGCGCGCCTGCCCACCAAGCCTAATTTGAGCGACAAGGAAGGCGCGCGGTTGACGGCCCAAATCCCAACCGCCGCCTTGTGGGGCCCCTAGTCAAAGTAAAATTACAGTTTTGTATTCGGGAGAGGAGCCGCTAGAAAACGTCACATTGACAGGCTTGAGCTTCCGATATCAATCACGTGAACATCCTATTCGGTTAAAACACGGTTGCCTTTTACTTACAGAGACCAAGCCTGGGCACAATCAGCAGTCGCTTCCGTCCTGGTGGTTGCCGCCTTTGTTACATTGGACAGGACAAAATAGGATCTCGCAGACCTACTGTTCCCACTGGCCCTTCTCCGGTTTTTTAGTCTCCAATACCCTCTCAGCTTTGTATTATTTTTAGACTGTAAAACGTCACGCAACATTAGCCCAACTCAATCGACAACAGTAGCTTCACAAAGGAGTAACAAACTGATGAATTAAAATATCGAAAAAAAAAATGAATCAAATCAACAACGCCATACTCCGTGCAACGACCTGGAGTGGACACTAATCCGACCCATTCAAGGTACAATCTGACGGTCTCTGCAATACTTCTCTTCTTTGTCTGTAAGTCTCCCTTCGATCTCATCTACCTCTCATCTACCTCTCATCTACCCCCGTATGCGTTCTATTCTCTTCGTTTCCCATTCGTCTACAGCCACGTTGCGTAGCGGTCTGGTCTTTATGGTGTCCTATACATGAGCTGGGTAATAAATACTTGGGTGCCAAATATGACGCTTTATTGTTCGGCCCCACCGTCTGTGGACGAGCTTGGTGTGCGCATGTGCGTCGTCGATGACGGCGACGAGGGCAGCGAGGGCGACGCGGGCGTGGTTGCCGAGGCCGAGCCAGAGATTGACGACAGCGACGACAGTTGGCCGAGCGCGTCGCGGCAGATGTCAGCAATGGACGAGCCGCCGAGGAATTTGAGAACGGCCATGTCGATGTTGAGCTCTTTGAGGAACCACGAACGCAGTTCGACTGCGACGAGCGAGTCAATTCCCAGCTTAATGAGGGGCACCTTTGTCTCAATCTTTTCTGCAGGCAGCTGCAGGATGAGCTCGACCTTGCGCGAGAAGGCGGCTTCGAGGATGGGCAGCGTGGCGTTGCCCTTGCTGGCAGCATCCGCAAACTGACTGAGCACGCGCGTGGACAGCTCGGCCTTGCCGCCGGTGGTGGCGGCGGCCTGCTCCTCGGCCTGCAGGATGTGCGAGAAGAGCGGTTTGGTGGGGAAGCGCGTGGCGGCGTTGTGCGGCAAGCCAGTAATGATCTGTGTGCTGTGGCCTCGGCTGCGGGAGACTGCCGAGTCGGGGTGGCCGGCCAGGATGGCAGATGCAAAGATGTGCTGCATCTCGGTCTCGTACAGGCCGATGTAGCCGTACATACCCACGAGACGGGCCTCGTACTGACTAAGGGCGCGGTCGACATAGCCGACGCCGAGCAACATGGCAATGTCAATGACGGAGGCGGGAAGGCCGCGCTGGCGGCGCTGGGTCGCCAGCGTGTGCATGTACATGTTGGCGGCGCTGTAGTTGGACTGGGCCTTGTTGCCGATGATGCAAGCGAGCGACGAGAAGAAGATGAAGAAGTCGAGCTCGCCGGGAGTCGAGAACAGTTCGTCCATGTAGCGGCTGCCGTCAACCTTGGGACCGAAAACGTACGTGAAGTCGTCGAGCGAGCAGTTGTTGAAGGGTTTGTCGCGCAGCACCATGGCGGCATTGGCAACGCCGGCAATCGGCGGCATCTCGGCGCAGATTCGCTTATGCACGTCTAGCAGATCTTGTTTGTTGGTGACGTCCAGGGCATAGACCCGAATGTCAGTGGCACCGCGGCGGCGGAAATCGTCGAGCACATGTGGATCGACCTGCGGGTTGCGGCTGGCGATAGCGATGTGGCGAGCACCGCGGTCGGCCATCCAACCGCAGATGGACAGGCCCAGAGCACCCGTTAGGCCAACAAGGAAGTACGTCTTGTCGCCCTTGAACAGGTTGAGCGATGCAGTGGGGAAAACCTGTGCAGCGACGGGGTATGGTGTGGTCCAGTTGACCACCTGAGCAGGGGGCAAGCTGGCGGTGGGGAGGTCAGCCACGTTCTCGATACCAATGATGCCGTCGGCCGTGACTGACGTTGCCGTTCCAGAAGCTTTTGCATCCCGCAAAACAGCCACCAGCTCCGACAATGAAATGTTCAGTGAGACGGCTTTGCCGGCCTTGGAGACCTTGAACAGGGACATTGCATTCACGGTCGTATTCGTCGTCAGGGTTGACGTGTTGTTCGCGATGCGACTAATCACCTCGACCTCAAGAGACACATCGAGATTCACGTAAGTTAGAGGACCCTTAGGGAGCAGAGCGAGAACACGCCGCTCGTTGTCGTACCGGTGGATGGTGGCCTGCACGGGGTGGCGCTGGCTGGCGGCGGCCGTAGTCGTGGCCACCAACGTGACGCTTTTGGTTTTGGCTTTGGCGACCAAGCGGTCCACAAGGGCATTGTCACCACCGTGTATCCACAGTGTGCCTTCGATGTCAGACGTGAGGCTCTCGGCCAAAACATCAAGGAGCAGCTGCTGGAGAAGTTCAGCCTTGCGACCATCTGCAGGTAGCGTGGCCAGAATGGCGTCTGCTGTGATGTGGACAACAGATCCGTTCTCGGGGCTGGCGACGAGCACAAGGTTGCTGTCATCGTCCAGATCGGCGCCGATGCCGAGGAAGACCGTCGTGCCGTCGCGGGTTCGGAACGGGTACAGGGACGAGGCATGCAGCTTGACACGGTGCTGACCACCATCCTTTGTACCACTGGCGCTGGGGGCCAGGTGCAAGGGCTCGGACTCGAGAATCTGCATGTGGCCGGCTTCCTGCACGATTTCGACATCACCGGCTCCTTCGGCTGTATCGAGGAGCAGCTTTCTGGCAATGGGACGGCGGTCAGCGTTGAGGCGGTCGTTGAGCTCATCGTCATTCATAATGCGAGGCACAAAGACGCGGCCATTCTCGATGCACATTTCTGTCTCGCGGACCCAGAAGACGTCAGCAAAGTCAGGGCTGCTAAGGTACACGAGGCGCAGCAGGGCCTCGGCGAAGAGGGTGGCCTCAGTGGTGCCCTGGCTGCCAAAGCCGCCCACAAAGCTGTCGACATCCAGGAACTGCATGACCAGATGCGGCGACTCAAAGGCGATGACACGCGCCATACCGACCGCCATGTTGGAATAGGGCTCGGCGGTGCGGCGGTTCTTCGTGACCCAGAGCAGGGCAGCAGACTCGAGGATCATGGTCTGCATGCCCTTGAACTTGGGCTCGGTCATGGACTTGAACATGGGCTCGTCGAGGTCGGCCAGGCACAAAACAGCGGCATTGGCTAGGTCGACCGTCCCAATTTCGGCAATGTCTGGCACGAGCACGACATTGGTACCCAGCGGGCGCAGGAGACGGCGGATGGTCTGGGTGACGCGGTTGACAGCTAGCGTTTTGCCACCAACAAGAACGAGCGAGGACATCGGCGACGCTGCGACGGCAGCCGGCGCGCGGTCCCATGTGCCGACAGACAGCGGCTCGCGCAGCAGAGCGATGCGGTCGTCGACGGCTTGTGTGCTCATGACGAGGCCGTAGAAATCGTCGAGGTCGCTGCACGACACATCGACGCCCGAGAAACCGGCGCCCTGCATGAGTTCGTCCCAGTGCGCTTCGCTGGCAAGCGGACCGTAGATGCGGCCATCGTTCTTTCCAAGCCACCAGCCTGGCAGGCCCGACATGATGAAGGAGGTGTACACTGCGTCACCGGTGATCTCAATAATGATCATACGGCCGCCGGGCTTGGTGATCTTGCGGCAGTTGGCCAGGGTGCGCGACAGGTACTGGGTGGCGTGCAGTACATTGGAGGCCAGGACCAGATCGTAGCCCTCCGGATCGAAGCCCTGCTCAATGGGGTCGCGCTCAATGTCCAGTACACGGAACTCCATCTTGGCGAGCTCCTCGGGCGTGAACTGGGTCTTGGCCTTTTCAAAGAACGCGGGGGAGATGTCGGTGTACGTGTACGAGGTGAAGTGCGGCGAGATGGCCTTGATAGCACCCACCGACGCACCCCCTGTGCCGGCGCCGATCTCAAGCACGCGTAGGCCGGGATGCTCGTGGTTCATCTGCGCGATGAGGGTGTTGAACTGGCGGTAGACCAGGTCGAGGCCTACACCGTCTTTGTAGAGGCGGTTGAGGCGGTTGTTTTCCATGAGAACCTGCAGGACAGGGACCTCGCCGCGGACCATGGCAGGCAGGTTTGTGCCGACAGCCCAAGCCAGCTCCATGTCGACGCCGTCGCCGTACTTTTGCACCCATTCCGCGACCATCTCGGGGGTATCGTGGGCGGTCTCGGGCTTGAGGCGGCGGTGCTGGCCCGAGTCGATCTTGGGCAGCAGGTAGTTCTTGGCCCAGCCGAGCACGCTCTGGAACTGCCACTCGGCCGCAGCAAACTCCTCCTCGGACACCTGCTCAATGAGGCGGCGCAAAAAGTAGACCGAGGTGCGGTCGAGTGTGTTGATGTGCTCGAACATCGCATCGAGCACCTCGGGCTGGTCCTCGGGGCTGATGCCGGACGCGACCTGCGGGCGCCAGACCATCTTCGAAAACGTTTGGCGGTCGTTCTTGGGGCCAGGCTTGGTGAAGGACGAGCAAGTGAGGCCCGTGATTTGCAGCTCGCAGTAGCGGCTGTCCCGCGCGTTGAAGAGGTCGAGATCGCCGGCGATGACCTTGCTCGTGGCATCGCTCAGGTAGCAGTCGGCGACGGCCTGGGAGACATTGGCCGGATCGACGGCGTGCTCCTGCTGGCGAAGACGGGCAGCAGCCACGTTGACGCGAACGGTACGGATGCCCGTGGGCAGGTAGCTCGTCCACATGCGGCCGTCACCGGGGAAGCAGAAGGCGGCCATGACGCCCTGGAAAGCAGCGTCGAGTGTCGCCGGGTGCACAATGAGGTCGGCGTTGGCGGCCGGGCGGTTGATGACGGCGGTGGCGAGGCCGAGACGGCGCTGGGCAGACTCAAAGACAAAGTCGCCCGAGTACCGCAGGCCAATCTTCTCGAGCTCGCTGTAGAAACGCGTGGTGTCGACGTCGGACATGGGCAGCACAGGCGGCGCGCGTGCCGGCAGCACCGTGGGGTCGGCTTCGGCAACAGGGCCCAGGGCTACGACAGCACGGCCGGTGAAATTGACCTTTTCGGCGTCCGTCGTAGTACCGTCGACGCTGCCGCTGTAGCAGCTGAATTCGGCCACAAGGGAGGTGGCGTCTGCGCCTGCGTCCGGCTGGTCCACGACACGGATCACGAAAATGACCTCGGTGCCCGCTGCGTCCGGGTCAATGGTGATGGCGGCGTGGATGTGGAGGTCCTGCAGCTCGACAATCTGGGCGATTAGCCCACGCTCCGCCAGGGCGGCCTGGTTCTTCACCAAGTGCATGGACGCTTCCACCGCCATGGACACGTAACCGGCCGCGGGGAACAGGATCTGGTTCTGGAAGACGTGGCCGCGTAGCCATTCGAGCTCGGTGATCTTCATGACGTTGCGCCAGCGAATCATCTGGTTGTTGCCGGCAGACGTCATGGAGCCGAGCAGCTCGTGGGTAGGGTCCTCGCGCAGGCGGTACTTCTTGGACAGGATGGACTCCTTCCACAGAGGCACGTCATGGTCCCATGCGTAGGTGGGCAGGTCGCGCACTAGGCGGGGCGGGCGGGCCGTCGGGACATGAGCGCTTCCAGTGTGGTCGCCGTCGTCGCCAACGCATGCACGTCGGAAGGCCTCAAAATTGACGACGGTGGCAGGTGACTGGAAGTGGCTCCACACGAAGCCCAGCGCATTACTAAAAGCGGCCAGGTCGTTGCTTCCACGCGCGAGCACGCCCGTATACGGAAGGTCCACACCAGTGACCGAACGCAGGACCTCGCTGGCGGGGCCCTTGAGCGCCGGGTGGGGGCCTACTTCCAGCACCATATCAAAACAGTGCGACTCGGTGGCTGCGCGGTCGAGTGCCTGCGCAAACAGCACGGGTTTGGCCATGTTGTCGACCCAGTACGTGTCGCGGAACGTGTCTGGCTCGTAGATGCTGCGGCCGTCGGCGCCATGCACGCTCGAGAACCACACGAATCCGGCATCCGGGGCCACGGGTGGCGCCAGCACGGAAATGTTGCACTGCCGCAGGCTCGCGAGGTACGCCTCAGAGCAGCGCTGCATGTGATGCGAGTGGTACGCCGTGTCGACCTGCAGGGCGCGCGCAAACACGCCATCTGCCTTGAGCTGCACCTCGGCCGCGTCAATGGCGTCTGCATCGCCCGAGAGCGTCGTGCTCGAAGGCGAATTGCTGGCAGCGGCCACGATACGGCCTTCAAACGGCGTACCTTTGCCGCAGAAGGCCACGGCCGCCTCGTACGACATGCCGACGGCCATCATCTTGCCCGGCTGGGGTACGTCACGAGCCTTGACGGCGTGTACGCCTCGGTAATAGGCAATGCGGATGGCATCCGACGCCGAGAGATAGCCCACGGCATAGGCGGCTGCGATTTCGCCCGACGAGTGGCCGACGACACCGCTGAACTCGATGCCGGCAGCACGCAGCAGGTCGACGAGTGCAATCTGGAGAGCTGTGCATAGCGGCTGCGACAATGTGGCTTCGCGGATGCGGGACGTTTCGGCTGGTTTGAGCAGCTCGGCCGTCAGGGACCACGCAGGACGGTCGGTCTCGACGGGGAGCTGGGCCAACGATGCCTCGAGTTGCTGCAGCGAGCGGCGGAAGAGAGCGCTGTGGGCATAGAGCGCAGCACCCATGGCGGGCCACTGCGCGCCTTGCCCTGTGAAGACGCCCAAAATGCGTGGCGGCAGCTGCGCAGTCACGGGCAGGGCCGCGGTGACAAACGAGTTGGTGCTCGACGAGGCGGCCTCGGCGTTCTGGACCGCCTTGAGACCGGCCGCAAGGCTGGCCTGCAGCTCGGCACGCGTCGTACCTGTTGCATAGGCGCGGTAGGCAAACTCGGAGCGCTTGTTCTGCAGCGTCCAGGCGAGGTCGCCGAGAGATGTGCTGGCGCCGTTGGTCTCTTCTTTCTCGAGGTACTCGGCAAGTGCAGAGGCAGAGGCCACAAGAGCACCCTGCGAGTTGGCCGACAGGACAAGCGGGCCAAGGGGGACATCAGATGCCGCGTCCTGTGTTCCAGCTTTGGATGACACGTTGTCCTTGTTCTCGGGTGCGCCTTCCCAGCTCTCGATGATGGCGTGGGCATTTGAGCCGCCAAAACCGAAGCTGTTCAGACTGGCACGCCGCGGCACGCCATCCGGCAGCTTGGGCCAAGGAAGTGCCTGCGTCGGCACGCAGAGCCGGTGGTAAAATGGCTCGATCTTGGGGTTGAGTGTGTTGAAATGCATGTTAGGCGGGATGATGCTGTTCTGTACAGCCAGCGACGCCCGCATAAAACCTGCAAGACCAGCACCACTTTCCAAGTGGCCGATGACAGTCTTGATCGAGCCGACGTACAGACGTTCGTCATTGTCGGTGGCAATGGGCGTTGCTGGTCCGGACCCTGTGGTTGGGGGACGTGTGAAGAAGGCATTGTAGACTGCCTCGGCTTCCACTGGGTCGCCTGCATTGGTGCCCGTTCCGTGGGCCTCGAAGAACTGGCAGCGGTCCTCTTTTTTTGTAATATCGAGGCCGGCCCGTGAATACGTCGCGCGGATCATGTCCGACTGTGCGCTTGGGTTCGGCATGGTCAAGCCGGGCGTGCGGCCGTCCTGGTTCATGCCCGTCTCGCGGATGATGCATTCAATGTGGTCGCCGTCCGCCAGAGCCTGCTTGAGTGTCTTGAGGAACACAGCCACGCAGCCTTCGCCGCGAGCATAACCGTCTGCACCGGCGTCCCACATCCGTGAACGGCCCGTGGGTGATAGCATGTGCAGCTAGAGACTGTTAGATTCCCTGGGCTTTTAAAACCTGACTGCGATCGAGGGGGCGGTGCTCACCTTGGACTCCATAATGTAGACTTCAGGCCCCAGAATGAGGTTGACGCCAGCAGCCACGGCCAGCTTGGACGTACCATTGCGCAGCTCCTGGATGCCCAGGTGCAGCGCAATCAGACTCGACGAGCACGCTGTGTCCAGACAAACGGATGCGCCCTTCCAGTCGAAGAAGTACGACAGCCGGTTGGACATGATGGACCTTGCCACGCCCGTGGCAAAGTAGTGTGGAATGGTCTCCAGGTCGCGTTGCAGCATCGCCGTATAATCATCCGACGATTGGCCGACAAACACGCAGGTATCCGAGCCTTTGAGGCTCTGGATCGAGTAGCCCGACGCCTCCATGCCCTCGTACACAGTCTCGAGAAGCATACGCTGCTGCGGGTCAATGGACTCGGCTTCGCGTGGGTTGATGTTGAAAAAGTTATAGTCGAATGTTCGCACGTCCTCCGACTCGTCGAGAAAGTACGACTGCGTGGCATTAGTGGCCTATTGGTCGAAAAGGGACATTGTATTTGTCAGTAAAACGTCTATAAATGCGTATCTGTGTATAGTCCGTAAGGTGATTTTTAACTTACACCGTGGTGCTCGCCGTCTGGATGGTAGAAGCTCTGGACATTGAAACGGCTCTTGGGCACCTCGCTGAGGAGATCCCGCGGTTCTTTGAGAAGTTCCCACAGCTTTGACGGTGTCGACGCGCCACCGGGGAGCCGGCAGCTGCTTCCCACCACGGCTATAGGCTCCGGTATATTTCTTCGCTCAGCCATGTTGACTTGTAGATGTGAAGTAAAAGATGTGAAGAAGGTGCAACCAGATGGGAACAAAACGGAGATATAAATAAGATTTGGGAGGGGAGGGGAGGAGGGGGAAGGCAATTGAAATAAAAGAGCAAGAAAAGGTCAAACGCTAGACAAAGAAGATCCAAAATCTGAGTACAAGGTGAGAAGGAGGAGGACGAGAAGTGACGGTGTATAGCGACGAAGAGTGAGGGAGTTCTGAGAGATATAAGATAAAAAAGTGAGCAGATGGTGAAAGAAAGGTGAGAGAGAAGACAGTCACGATATAAGGAAGGCGAAAACGAGACAATGAAGCACCGGGGAGATGGAAGGAATCAACGTAGGGTGGGAGCCAGCAAAGGTCAAGACTGAAGGGAGAAGCTAGAGCTAGGAGGCCTTGGAGAATAAAACGAGCAACGCATCGAGCTTGGACCTGAGCCTGATGCATGATACGTGCTCTGGTGGGGAATGTATGGTCAAGCTACGGCCAAGCTACAAAAGCTACCGGCAGCCTATGAACAGATCGTGGCAAACCATGAAGCTTGTGAAGAGGGAAAGCTGCATTGGAGTGGGCTATGGCACGAGTTCATTCGATGGGCAGAGACCCGGTGGGACAGAGACAGACAAAACAGGCGTATGCAGTGGGTATGCAAGTCCCGGTGGGCGTCCTCGTCGAAGGAGATACCAAAATGGTGCTTCCTGTTGGATTTGTGTAAACGGTGCCGCTTATAAGGCCAAAAGAGGAAAAGAGCACGAAGCAGGGTCCACTTATACATACGCCCCCTCCGCTTCTGGATGTGGATGTACGGCCACTTCCATCAGACTAAATAAACCCCCTGGACGAGCGGGCAGGCTCATAGGCTACCAGTCTTAACAGACAACAAAATTCTATCTTGACAAAAGGTTCCATGAGGGGTCTTTTTGTCGCCCAGTTCAGTCGTCCGCCGAGCCTAGCGGAGAGAAACGGGGAAGAATGGAAAGGGGATAGAGATACGAGATGCACTAGGACAAGACGGCAACGGTGAAGAAAATCAAAAGTCCCCGTCCCGGAGTACGACGTCGTAGGGTATGAAGCCGAAGCCCAGTTCGTAATCAAGCTGAAGGGACGGTGAGAGCCGAGGTCGGGAAGGAGGTAGAGTAAGACGGGCATCAAGATCGACATGCTTGTACATCACCACGAACCAGCTTCTGTGAATTCAAAGCACCTATAGGAGAAATGTGTGAAACAGCAAACAAAGGTAAGGAGCAAGATCATCAACATGAAGAAAATGAGTCGGAACCAACGGCAAATCAAAATCAAAATCACAATGCCTAGGACAATAGTAACACAATATGAGAAACGCCACCGGGATCCGCACTGCCGGCAACCATTCCAGGAAGAACATCCGACGGCGGGTACGGCTGAGCAAGAACAAGTACGACAAAGCATGACAAAACACAAATCATACACGAGAAGGGATACACGGACAGACGGAAATAAAGAGACCAGAAAATCAAATACATCGATAAACGACTCCATCACGAGGTCCTTCAAGAGGGCCATGTAAGGGTAGGACACGAGAATGCGCCATTATCAGACCAATGACCTCAAATGAGATACCTGCTCACCTCACTGACATGAGCAGTTATTTACCTCCCGTTCTCCTTGGGGGTCGTTTACGAGACTGATTGTAAAAAGGACGGCACTGCAGCAAGTCTGGGGTCGCCACACACCCCATCATTGGTGCTTGGCTGATTTTCACCATTTCTGGTTCTTTCTGAGCTTTCTTGGATTCTGACACGTAAGGATGCTGCTCCCTCGCACTACGAGGGAGATCCTTTTTGGTTTTGCAGATGATTTGACCGCATTGGCCTCTGGTTGGCTGTGTTCAACATCTTAGACCAACCTTGCAGAACGGTCCGGTGCGTTGTCAACGACGTATCCTGTTCGTTTCTGGCCCTCTCTTGGGTGCCGCCTTGGGTCATCCTGCGCACCTTGTTTTTCGTTGGAGACGTGAGGCTAACGCTGATCATGCATGTCTAGCTGCATTCTGCTGGACTCAAATTTCTGTGGTAGACTTTGATATGCGGTCCATTATGCGGCCTTAGCGTAAAACCGGCGCGGAAGTGTGTGGGATAAGAGAAACAGTGGCAAGGGGAGAGAGAGCAGAGGGCGGAGGGGTTGGTCCACAATGACCCAAAGGAGAGTGGTGTTGAAGGACAGTTCGGGATATCCCCATTGCAGGAAAGTCAGCCAACAAAGAAAGTAAAGGTGAGAAGAGACAACAGGCTGGCCCGACGGGGAGACGGTAGCGAGCTATGTGCGGTGACGAGATGACGAAGTAGCATGGCCGCCGGATTGGGGCAAAAGAACCCGCCAGGAAACCAAATCCCATGCACATACAAACAGGAGGGTAGGAGTGAGTCGAACCGAGGGTACGGACACCCCAGGTTGGGGGCGGGCCTGGGCACAAAAATGGCAGAAGGGCGGGATTTCAACAAAAAAAGGACGATAGGAAAAAATCTCGGCCAGAATATGGAATCGGGGCAGAGACTCATTGGCCAACAAAAATGAAAGAATTTGACACCGGCGATGAAATGGGAACAAGGTAAAGAATCAAAAGACGAAGGGCAAGCAAAAGGACCAAGAACCACGATGTACATATGTGAAAAAGAATGCATGAGAAGAAACGAACTGGGGTAACTGAAGAGGAAAATCTCAAGGTGTTGCTAGGAGGAAGAACAGGCCCGGGATTGTCCGTGGTCTTCACTACAACTGCATCGTCCAACAAATAATATGCTCCGCAGCGTACAGGGTAAGAAGAAACACTGAGCAATCCGTCGTTGAGACTGCATGGCCTAACGCACTTAACTCGTTAACACTTTTCATCTTGAGCCATGGTTGGCGTTGAGCGGGGCCAGGTCAGCATGTTGCACTCGAACTAAACCTCAGCTCAACGAACGTCGCAGATCCAACATGGACTTCGTACTGAGTATACGCTGTAAGCAAAGTATGATGCGACAACGGCGCTCGGTCAAAAGTGGACGTGGTCCGCTGGGCACTGTGCCGGCGAAAGGGCTTATCGAAGGGCAAAAACGTAACCGCATCTGTCGGTACCAGATAACATCATCATGGAAGGCCACATGGCCACATGATATACCAAGTTATCTTAGGTAGCTATCGATCCCACAAGAAGAGGGCCGTTGCATGTCAAGATGATACGACACCGCTGTTTTGCAAGAGGAGGGGGGGAGGGGTGGACTTTAGCACAGATATTTGCACAGTTTTTCGTGACTTTGACGACTTCTCGTGCCATTCAAGACAGACCACCTTGTGGAAACGATCAACTTGTGGAAACAATCAACTTGTGGAAACGATCAACTGGTGGAAAAGATCACGGTCGGTTCGTCAAGGTAAGCTCCTCTCCGCAGAGTCACGAGTCTATTGGAACAAAAACAACAGGGATATGGAGGGGGGGAAATGGTCGGCCAGCAGACTTCTGAGAAAGTGGAAAGACAGGAGCATTCGTGAGATGTGGCCCATGGGACAGGCCGCTGCAGGTCGAGCGGTCAAGGCAGCAACGCAAGTTGCTGTGTCTGCCGTCCTCGTACAGGCACTAATTCCGGGTCAGTTGAACAGGTCGACTCTGTTTGGGGATTCCAAGGACGAAGTAAGGCGCGCCAGTGCTGCGAGACGACAAAAGATGAGTTGAGTGTGAGAGTACCTCCCGTACGTAGAAACACGAGGAGGTTGAGGAAGTCAAATTCGACAAGAAACGATACAGGACAAACCGAAAAGCGGGTTTCGATAATCAAATCAGGCTAGTTGGAGAGACAGGGTCGGAGCTACGAGACGGGGCAGACTGGCATCGACAAGTCGAGCGTGAGGGGCGACAGGGAAGGATGAGGTTGTGGGCGAGGCAAAGAAGCGAAGTAGTCAATAGAAGAGACGAAAATGGAGGCCAAATAAAACCGGGGCCGCCGAACGGGGGATAACCGGGGCCCGCCTTCGGGCAAGGTCCAGGGTTGTGCAGACCGCTGTTGAGAATGAGGAAAAATGACGAAATCCCGTTTGAGCGACAGTGAAGAGGGACGAGGATGAGGCAAAGAGGACCAGAAGAAATGGAATGCGAAAAACGGCAAAGGAGAGAAAAAGCAGAAACAAAAAGAAGGAGAAAAAAAACTTGGCAAGTGCCTCGACGAGGAATTGAGGCCAGGAGGCAGGAGCTGGCAGTTGAAGAGAGCAACCGAGAAAAGCCCAGAGGAAAGAGCGAGGGTGGGGGCAGAAATTCATACGGAAGGTGCGAAGAAGCGCATCATGAAGGAGGGGAAAGAGCGGGATGGAATTTGGCACTAAGAAGGAACGAACTTGAAGCTTGTGTCTGCAGCAGGTATACGGCATCATACTGACGGAGAAGAGCCAGCGAACCGGGCAGATGAAAGAGTGCTAATTGGGATTCCCACCAACCGCCTCGATATTCCGTTTCCCTAATGCACATTGGGCAGTTGAGAATGAGGGCAAAGACGGCGGAATAGAAGTACAAGACCAACGAGGAAATAAGAACGGCTAGTTTGAAATGGGTCGCCTCCACCTTCCCTCCACTTCGAAAAAACGACATAACCTCAAGGGCAGGAGCGATCGTAGCAGCTACCCTGACAGCAGTGGACGCAGAAAAGCAAAATGTGCGAAAATACAAAATAATAAATAAAATACATAGACAGGTGTTTCAGTTCACAGCCGTTAACCAACAATACATCCTGAATGTAACGCCCAGCATTTGGACCAAACTTTCAACAAGAAAAACAAAAAGAAAAAGAAAAAGAGACTTCACTCGGAACGTCGAGCTTACACGGAACGAACGGGAAATCACCCTACACCAAGACTCGGCCAAAGCCCAGAACCAAGGCACGAAATAAGAACGAATGCTGAGCCAAGACGATGGAATAGGAAAGTAAGAACCCAGTGAGTCAAGACGGGGTAGAAAGAGAACGAAGTTGCGCGATGCAGGGCCAGACCAGGTCGCAAAACGACAAGCTGCTAGACATACACCCCCTCCCCTCTCACTCCATCGACCTCCGTCGTCGCCGCCCAGTGTCCCTTGTGAAATTTAGTCCTGGCGCGGAAATCAACGAAATGGTGTGTCCAGCCGTCGATTCTATTGGTGTCAGTCGATTTTATTTATTTCGTGTTTTTTTTTCTTTTTCTAATTACAACAGAAAGAGATGCAACAGAAGAGCGGGGCGTTGTGGTACGTCGATTGTCATACGTCGTGTCCCTTGTCCGACAGCATGCCATCTCGTAACCTCTCCCGGCGAGTTCTAGGTTCCGATCGAGCAGCCAAGATGCAAACGGTCGTAATGGAGTGGCAAGAGGTAAAAGCCGGAGGCAGGGCGAAGACTAGGGAGGAGATGCCAGCAGGCGCTGCTGCAGGTGCATATCTCTTGTACTTTTGTACCAGCTGCCGTCCTGAGCCCCGAGAATAAGAGACCCGTCACAAGTGAATGGCACGACGTACGGTGTTATCATGCTCTGATAAGCGTCAACGAACAGCTCCTGAGTCTGAGCGGAAAGTCAACAAAAAGTCAGGAGATAGCCACAGCCAGCACAGCTGCGCGCAGATTTTGATCAAATATCCAAAAATCGAATACATACATCTCCTCCCCTCTTCAACATTTCAAGTCATCACCAGCATCCTCTCCAGCATCCTTCCCAGCATCCTTCCCAGCATCCTCCCCAGCATCTTCCCCAACATCCCCATCAAGCCCACGACCATGATCAACTCATCCACTCCTACGACGCAGACGGCCCTGGTCTGTGCCGGCGCTGGCGAGTACCTTCTTGCCACGGGCGTCCAGGTCGTCTCTCCGCCACCGCCCGGCATGCTGCTCTGCGCCGTCAAGGCCGTTGCCCTCAACCCGGCCGACTGGAAGATGGTCGACTTTTCGGCGACGGCCGAGTTTATTGGTGGCCACGAGTTTGCCGGTGACGTCGTGCAGGTTGGTGCCGGCGTCGAAGGCTTCGCAGTCGGCGACCGTGTGCTGGCACCTGTTCCGGGCCTTTTTGGCGCCATCATCGACGACAGCAACAAGGACAGTCAGACGTCCCGCAGCAAAGCCGGTGCGTTCTGCGAGTACGTGCCCGTTGCCGTCGACATGGTCGTGCGCCTGCCGGAGAGCATGAGTTACGAGGACGCTGCCGGGTTGAGCGTCGTGACCTACGCCGCCGGCCTGGCACTCTACCAGACCCTGCAGCTTCCCCTTCCCTCCGTCGAGCCCCGCCCCGACGCCGAGACAGCAGCTGCCAAGCCCACCTACGTGCTGGTCTCCGGCGGTGCTTCGGCCTCGGGCACAATTGCCATTCAGCTGCTCAAAGCGTGAGTTTATTTATGGATGTCCCAAACGCATGTGGCGTTCCATTCATGGGCCCCTTCACTGACACTTTCTTGAAACAGCTCTGGCCTTGCCCCGATTGCCACGTGCTCGCCCGACAACCGCGATATGCTCCTCGCCCTCGGTGCCGTCGAGACGTTCGACTACCACAACGCGACGTGCGGCATGGAGATTCGCAACTACACCCAAAACAGCCTCGCTCACGTTATCGACTGCGTCACCCAAGCCGAGTCCATGAAGCTGTCCTACGAAGCCATTGGCTCTGCGGGCGGCCGTTACATCGCGCTCGACCCCTTCCCGACGCGCATCCAATACTCCCGCCGCGAGGTCCAAGCGGACTGGATCATGGGGCCCACTCTGTTCGGCGAGGCCGTCAAGCTGGCTGGCACGTATGGTCGTCCGGCCCGCCCGCAGGACCGACTGTTCACATCGCGCCTGTTTGGTCTCGTGGAGCGCATGCTGGCTGCCGGCACTCTGAAGCCGCACCCGGTCGAGCTGCGGACGGGAGGCCTGTCGGCCGTCACACAGGGCATTGAAGACCTGCGCATGGGTCGTGTGCGGGCCCGCAAGCTGGTCTACCCCGTGGTGTAAAGTCCTTTTTTAGGGCTGATTCGAAGGATATTTACTCTGATGTTTTGCTTGCCATGTGCTCTTTTGTTAACAACGTGGCGGAATATGGGTGGATTGCATGACCGGGGCCTAGCCACAGACAGCTGTCAAATTTAATTCACCACTATGAAACGGAGTACGTCATACGACGTGAGTTGTAGTTTCTTTTACTAACGTTTTGGGTATGGAATCCCTTGCCAAAGAAAGGTGCGCCCAGAACTCGGAGTAGCGGAGAGAGATCCTAGCGACGATCGCCACGGCGTTTTCCCGCTGGAGAACACCTTAATTTTTTTCTATTTTTTTCGTATGTCCCAACACGTTTTGCCCCCTTCTCGCGACAAATGGGGACGTGCTTGTCTTGGCTTCGAAGCTTGGACACAGAAGGAAAGAATCATTTTGGTGCGAATCGACGGCAAGGGGTTCCATATTGGCGGCGGGATCCTCTAGAGACAGGGTCAGGGGGGGCTGGGAAAGAGGAGGAAGGATTCCAAATACAACATACGACGAAACTATTTGTCGACTGCAAGTGCGAATTAGGGCATAGCGCTCAATGAGACTGAGAAAGCGAAAGAGAAAAGGAAGGGTAAAGAAAAAAGTGGTGACAGGAAAGCACAAAAAGAAAGCAACACTACAGAACAGGTGACACAAAATTAGCGGTTTTGTCGCGGGCACAACCGAGCGGCCCGTAAAGTGAAGGGGCGCCGATGCTAATCACCAACAGTGCAGAGACAGGGTCTGAGCTCACAAGTCTCACTTACGAGAAGCAACACCCAAACCAGAAAGAATAAAGGTCAATCCCCCGCCTAAGTCGATGGTGGACGGCGAAATGCTGTTAACAGATTAGTGCCCAGAAACTAGAACAACAAGCGACAAAGAGTTGTGCGTTTGTAACGGGCCCGAATCGTCTTTGGGAAAATATGTCACTGTTGGCGACTTTTTTGTTGCCATTCAAACAATGGCGGTGGCAGAAACACGCCACTTGGCTCCGGCACAAATTTATTCTACGCCGGAACAAAATTCCCAGTTCGTGACTAGGAGGTCATGCGGCCCTTGAACGTGTCCCAATGCGTGCTCTCGGTATTCAAGGCATACAATGGCTGTGTACTACAACATTCAGGTACGACATTGTGTCCACAGATCCGGAAAAAAGAAGGGAAACAACCAACAGACATGGAAACGAAGTCGGCAAAATACTTTCTCATGGTTGGCAAGACGAGCGGCACCATGGCACGAGCTGAACCGTGCTCTTCTGTGCCCAGCATGCTATGGACTGCGCTCCGGTTTGCCTCGCGCGAGATGACACCAATTTGTGCGGTTAGTACTCCAAGTGAGGGAGTGCCCCGATGCCGCGGCAGGCGCAGTGCATGCAGTTCGGCGGGTTCCTTCGATGTGAGAGACGCTAGCCCAGGACTGGACTTGCAGGAGGAAACCGCACAAAACCGAGCAAAAGTAAAAAAAAAAGACCGGAATACGGCCAGCGACAGCCAGGTGAGATAATAGTACATCTTGTCGTAACAGGTGGGGGAGCCGCTCTCGAGAGCTGTCAACCAATCGACTGGACAAGTTGGCTGAAGCGAGTAGCGCTGGTCACTGGTGCCAATGCAATGCAAGGCTCCTTGCATTGCATCGCATCCCCCATGGCAAAGCATGACATGATGTTCACCGTGAGCAAAGCAAGTAAGCGGGACTGGACGAGAAAGGTACTTCTGTCGGTTTCGTTGGCAAGGCGGCGAGAAGAATAGGCAGAGCACAACAGACGTGTCGAGGAGAGGGCTGTTCTGAGACAACAGCAAGCTGTTTCCCCAACCTGCTTGCCTCTCACGAAACAAGTTGCTGACCATGAAAACTTGATATTGGCTTATCAAGACCGCGAAGAAAGATCAACAAGTGAGACAATTTTTGCTCGAGTTCGAGGCCTTTTGGTGTCGGCGTTGCGGAGAGGGCATTTCCTTTCTTTTTTTTTTTTTTTTTTTTTGCAAGTAGGCCGTGTGGACGACCTGCGTCAATGCTCCTCCTTTGGTTTAGATCAGCCGACGCTGACCGTGACGAGACTTGACAACGCATACATACATAGTTGTCCCTTTCTTGGCCCGCAGAACGGCGATCCGTTTGGCCAGTTCATCTCACCTGCTTTCTGTGCTTTCGAGGACAAAGAAGAAGGCGCAATGTACTTTGTACGACACGAACAATCTACAGGACCAACTGCACACCTACGCCGTACATGCGCGCATACTGATGACCGTAGCACCCGTCTGTCTCGGCCACATTGCCACGGTGCTTCCTTGCTTCCCCAACGGTCTGGGCCTCCTTGCAAGGCCCTTGCTTACTATCTTGTTTGCGATCAACACCGAGTCAGCAGCACCTTTTGAGATAGTGTATCACGGAAATCGGCGCCGGTGGGCGAGCACGATATTTTTGCGACGTGAGTCCATGTATGCCATTGTGTCTGTCCTACGACCGGGTGGCGACGACGTTTTCTGACGGCAGCACGTCGTGTCGTAGAACCGCAGCATCAATCATATTGTTCTTTTACAAGCACAATCTACCAGGGACGCTCCGACGACTCGGCTCGGGCCGGTTGTCGTTCTCGAGAACATTGTCTCATGGGGACCAGAGGTGTATCACGTATCACACCGAGAAAGGCGACACAAGGCATAAAAAGAGGTAAACCATACATGGCGTAAAGTTGAGCAGATTGTAAGAAGATGACCAAAATGCCCAAATCCCAAAATGATGTCTAAGACTGAGTGGTTTTCCCATTGTTCTATGATCCAAAACGCCACTGTACAACAAAAAAAAACGCCGCTCAAAATGCCGAACCATCTTCCCTCAGTGGGTATATTGTTCCATCACTTGCCTCGTCTCGCGTCTTGCTTGTTGCTTCCATCATGTCCACACCACCTTCTCACTCGCGCCTACGGCTTCTCCTTGAGATCAGCGTTGTCGTCGTCCGAGACGTTGCGACTGGTCCCGGCCAGGGCACCATCCGATATCAGGGCCTTGCCCTCGGTGCTGGTGGCCTGCTTCTCGAGGCCATGCTCGCGGTTTTGCTGGGCTTCGTGCGCATCGGCCTCAGCAAAGGCGTCGTCCTCGTCGATCGCGTCGTTCACCTCCTCGGCACCAGATGGGTTCTGCTGCTGCTGTATCTGGTCGGCACGCATGCGTTGAAGGACCTCGGCAGCTTCGGCGGCATACTTGCAGCGCATGCGAATGGCCTTGCCGTAGCGCAGGAACAGGAAGGGGAAGGGAACGCAGGCAAGGGCCAAAAACGCAGGGATCGAGCTGGCCCAGTGGACACCCAGGTTCTTGTACATGTCTGCGATGACGCGATGTTAGCTGGGTTCATTCTTATGCATATACCTGGGACGACAAGATCCAAAAAACGTACACGTTGTGAACAGGGGGAAAGCAGCGCCAAAGAGCGACCGGATGACTGTGCTGGCAGCCAGCACCGAGGCGGCAAAGATGACGTACGAGTCGATCAGGTAGTTAATCAGACTTAAAAAGACGAGCACGATGCCAGCCGCAAAGAACCCAGAGCCGACGATAGGCACAACCCAGTGGACGGGGGCCGCATTGGTCCATGCGAACCAGAACAGGCCAATGGGCAGCAATATGGAGCCAATGGCACCCGCAGGCAGACGCGCCTCGGGCGGCGCCATGCCGTCGGGCGACGCCGCGACCTTGCGCGCATAGCTGCGGTTGTCAAACATGGCATACGATACGCCCGTGGACATGCCAACTGCAATGCCCAAAAAGGCCAGGCCGCCAATACCGGCCGACCAGCCACGGCCCTGCTGGAAAATGATTGGGAAGGCGGCGAACATCATGTACATGGTGCCGTAGATGATGGCCATGTAGATGGACAAGACAAAGACAATGGGCTCTCGGAACAGCAGGATCCAAGGCCGCGACAGAGCCGTGCGGAACTGCGCGGCCATGGAGGGTCCTTTGGCACCGGCCACGCGGTGGTGCATGTCCAGCTTGGAGACGTAGACTTTGCCAGTGTGCTTGGACAGTGCGGCCGCACGCTTGCGCAGCAGAACCGGCGCGTACGTCTCCGGTACGACCAGGCCGCCCATGATCGTCATGACGCCCGTGAAGATGGCCATCAGACCCTCGACCCAGCGCCAGCCGGCAGCGTCGCCCAGGAAACCAGAAACAATGGGGCCCAAGGACGGGCCGAGGAACGGAGCAGCGGCGTACACGGCCGTGGCCAGGCCACGCTCCTTGGCCGAGAACAGGTCGGCAATGACGCCGCCTGCGTTTGTCAGGGGCGAGGAGCCAAAGGCACCGGCAAAGAAGCGCATAATGATGAGCGTCTGAATGTTCTGCGAGACGGCGGCGCCGACATTGAAGAGGGTCAAGACGGTGTATGTGAGGACGAAGAGAATCTGGCGGCCGAAGAACTCGCTGGACGGTGCCCAGATGAGCGGGCCGATGGCAAATCCCAGCACGAAAAGCGAGATACCGAGGATGGACAGCTCCGTGGACACGTGGAAGGTGGCCATGACCTCAGACAAGCCACCAGTATACGCCGTACTGACAAAGGCAATACCGAGCGTTGCTAAGGCCATGATGAGCGTGTACGTCCATTTCTTCCACGTGGGAACCTGCAGCGGGTCGCGAGGGTCGACAGGCAGGAAGGACACGATGTAGGGCGACTCTTCGGTGCCGTCGCCGGGGTAATGATGGGCGAGCATCTCGGGGGTCAGGCCGGACGGGCGGAAGACGATGTCCCAGTGGGTGACCTTTGTAGGTGCAGCTTGTGCCACCGGTGAAGGTTCGGACTTGGCCATGGCACCGGTCTCGAGGTCGCGTTGCGGTGTCCCGGGGACTGTGGCTTGAGCGGTGACGGAGGACGCCGCCGAAGGCACCGCGGCCGCCGGCGATGAGTTTTCTGCGGGCATGTTTGTGCCGAGTAGAAAGAGAAAATCCCAGGTGCGTGGTGAGCACAGTCGACGGAGAAGACAGATCAGGCCGTATCAGAGCAGTGTCTGGTGGCAACAGCCACACAGAAACAGATTCGAATATGTGTTGTCGTAAACTCAAGGCTGGAAGCTGCTGACCAAGATATAAGATGCGACGATGTCAAAGTGGGAGTGATGCCGGTGTCTGAAAACGGTTATACAAACATTCTAGCAAGTAAAAGAAGGACAATAAAGGAGAGATGAAGCCAAATAAGATAGATGGTCAAGGATACATTTCATAAAACTGGACAAACAAAGAGAGCGAAGTTGATGCACCAGGCGGGTGTAAGCTGCTTGTATATAAAACTTGACAGAAGGGGGGAGGGGGACAGCAGGCGAGCGCAACAGGATAAACAGCAAAAGGCCCAGGCGCATGCCGCGTGCGTCGTGGGTCGGGCACCGAGTCCGTGGTGATTTCTGTGGTTTTGTTTTGCAACTTTTGTTTTTGGGGGGTCCCGCTCCGCTGTGGGCCGTCTTGAAGAAAGAGGCAAGGAAAGGACTAAGATACAGTAGGATACTCGGCAGGATCTCAAGGGCGAGGCAAGGAAGGTGCAAAGCGCAATTGTACAATTTACGGGGGATGGCGAACTAACACAGCGCGTGGGCGCACAACTTGCACAAAAATAAGGAGTGAACGGATGACGGGCAATTCAGTGAGCACTTGCCTCGCGCTTCGGCCTTAACATTTGCATAAAAACAAACACTAGTGCGTTGCTGACACTTGTGTACACAGTAATTCGAGGTTGCTTTATCAGTTGGAGGGAAGGAACGACGCCGGGTACCAGCTGCACAAAGATGAGTGTGACACGGAAGACGGAAAGTAGGAAGCGGGTCCCATAGAGGGAAACGAGGAGCCACTATCTTACTTTATTCTTTCTCGCGTTTCTTGCAGCCCCCCGCCAGCATGGCAGCCCGTCTGGTTAGTAGGAACTTTTGGCGGAAATATGACCCGGAACGCGTGGTCATGGTGGTTAAGGTGGTTATGATGGTCCATTGGGACAAACAACATATTTTCGCTTGCTCTGCTGGGGACAAGGTCTTTTTCTGAGCATAAAATTAGAATCATGGAAAGCAAGCCCATGTCATTTGATGTGTCTCATCTACATCCCAACAGCAACTTGCCAACGATCAGGATCTTGTCAAGGCCCGTTTCGTCCCTGTTCAGCCATCTGGACTCGACAGGCTGGCCTAAGCGCCGTGGAGTACACGACAGGAGGGTGGTTGATGAGGTGACGAAACACGATAGGGCTTACGCTGCCACAGTGGCCTAGCCCGTGTCATTTATTTGTAACATGGGTAGATCTCTTTAACGTATGTCGTACGCGGTATCACGACCCGCTGAATCTGAAAGAATAGCCATGGTAGCGACGAACATAATGTGCGATTAGACATATCGCCATTGTTTTTGCGTGGCGTTTTACAAACATGTTTGCAGATCGTTTGAAGAACGCCCGAAGCACCTTGAAACACTACGGAGCCCTTCGCCACCCTCCAAATGCATGCCGAGCCAGCCGGTCGTTATGTCACTTCCAGGGGGGTTAGGTAAATACCATACTCTGTGCGGTATGCTTTCAGAAAACGGTTCTAACATGGCAGAAGCTTCGGTTGTTGTGGAGATATCGCCGTAAAGTCCGCACTGTCTTGACATAACAGTATCTTTCGTCTAGCATCATGGTCATAATTGTGGTTCATTGTGTGGATTTGTTTCTTTATGTTCCTTTTAGTTTACCGTTTTCAGTCTTTGGGCATCCATATTTGATTCTAAACCGCGTGGTTTCTCAACTTTTCCCATTTATTTTGAGCCTCGGCATCGGTAAGCATATCTGACGGGACGCTCCACACACCCACTTACGCCAGTTTAGAAAACTTCTTTAAGACCCCAATTGTAAGAACCAAATGAGACGACGAGAATGACGGTAGGAAACACAAATGTAGTATTCTTGGGGGGGGGGGACGGTTCTGACATTGCTTTACTTTCTTGTCCCCAGTCTGCTCTTTGCTCTTCCCTTGTATTGAGTGTGAAAACCCTCTACGTTGTACTGTTTTCACACTACGGAGTTATGTTCTTGACGTATTTTTTTTCTTTTATTTTTCTAGCGTTGGAGCATGTCTGCCAGCTGTAACGTTATGTCCTAGCTCGTCGCTCCATGTGTCTTATGTGTCTTATGTGTCTTATGCACGATTTGCCAAAACTCACGAGTCATCCACAATTGTGGTCCCACTCATAACGGAGCGTAGAGCATCCGTGATTTACACAAAAATCTGTACAATTAGACCAGCCTACGAAGTAGTCCCGACATTCACACCCCAAAGATACCCCATACACAATGTTTTCTATCGTACATGGTGGTCTGGGGCTGTAGCAAAGCTTAAGTTCCTGTCTCACGGAAACAATTATGCTTACCAATGGAAAGAAAGGAGCTCTACGAAGTACAGGGTGCGATAAATTGCTGTTGTGACCCCACCCTGGTGTGGTGCAGTTTCTCACTCTCAAAATGTTTCCGACGTCGTATTTTGTGTGCGGCCTCTGCGCCATCCACTCGTAGTCGTAGTCGTGGCCCGGTATTTACAAAGGAAAAACATACATTTTGAGTGCGACCTTCGGGCTCTGCATTCTTTAAAGCCGTGTCAATGTCACGGCCGGACATCCAAGTCCGTGCTGACCACCACTTCAGCCACGACGTAATGTCAGTGCTTTTAGTTTCTGGGCCATCTCCGATAATCATAACAGGCCAGGGACCGACACAACGTGGTTTGGTTCCCAGTCACCAGTGTCCTAGAAGGAACAGAGAAAAGATACAATGGTGTTTCGTAACCGAAGCTCGGATCTGGCATGCGGGGAAGGATGTGAGGTTTTGTTCAAAGAATGACAACCCGTTGATAGCCTGGATCCAAGGAAATTTCGTCACGAGATCATGTTACGTTTGTGGAATCATTTCTTGTCTCGTCTCAATTCAGAATCGCTCATGTGCTTACCTTCGGCTAGGCCAACGAACTCTGCTTTTCTAGATGCTGTTGATTTCGAAATTGTCTCAAATTCTGTCGTTCGCTCGTATTCAGAATCCCATCTTCACTCAGAATTTAGTCGGGTTTTGAGTATCTGAGCAGGGTCCATAAAGTCAGATGTCAAGCTGTGTAGATTCTGGAAGCTACCCCGGTAAGGTTGAGTTTACATGATTCATTAATTTCAAGTTGATGAAAATCAACTAAAACGAAACCGGGTGGATGAAAAGAAAAGGACAAAAAAAAATCCAGATTAAATCGAAATAAACTGAAGGCTTTTAAAAAGACTCGAAAATATCCAGTAAAATCCTAACTCAAACTGACGTCAACAGAAACCACTGTGAATTACCAAAACAGCGCGCAAGTGCAAAATAGCAAAGCAAACAATAGCTGTTTCATGAACCTCGATTGGGTCACATGACCTCGTGTCAAGCAGAACCCAATAGGACAGCGCGCCTTGGCCACACCTGCCCGTCTCGTGTACATGGCGGCTCGTCACTTTCCCTGCATCGCACTAAGAATACGGAGGTCTCAATTTAAGCATTTAGGAGCGTTCCTGGCGCATCTCGACGTCGTATCTTTTATCGCGACGATCACGACGGCACAGTAGGACGACAATCGACACGACGACCCTGCGCCCCCGCCAAGGCTAAACACTCTCCTTGCGCCACCGACGAGCGAGCTTGCCCGTGATGGAGTGCTCCTCTTCCATCGCCATATAGCTGTCCCCTTTCGCCTCTCATTCTCCATTGAACGGTTACTCGTTTCATTTTCCTTTCTAGTGTATGCCCTCACGCGCCATCGCCGACATGGCCGCTCGAAATGCAGCTGGAACGCCCCTGCTTGCTGTTCTTCTGCTGCTGGGCGCGAACCTGTTGATCCCGCTCGCCATTGGCATCTTCGGCAAGGGCTTCTTCCCCTACAAACCGCTGCTGCCTGGCCTCGCGCAATATGAGGATCATGGCTTCGGACCGCCGGCACCGGCACCCTTTGACCGTGTCGTGTTCATGGTCGTTGATGCTCTGAGGAGGTGAGGTTGCCACCTGGCAGTGTCGACGGTTTTTCGCTGAACCTCCATGTTGACCTCTGTTTCTCAGTGATTTCGTCTATGTCGCAAACAGCGGCTTCCAATTTACCCAATCGTGAGCCACCCCCCTTAACCACCCGGAGAGCACCCCGGCCCAGCTCTGACACGGCACAGACTCATCCGCAGTGGTGCCGCCGTGCCCTTTACGGCACATGCCACGTCGCCCACGGTCACAATGCCGCGCATCAAGGCCATCACCACGGGCTCCATCCCGTCGTTTCTCGATGTCGTCCTCAACGTCGACGAGGGCGACAAGTCGTCGTCATTGGCCTCGCAAGATACGTGGCTGGCTCAGATGAAAGCCAAGCAGACCCAGCAGGCAGATGGTGCCGACGCAGGCGGCAAGCTTGTCCTCTACGGTGACGACACCTGGCTCAAGCTGTTCCCGGACACCTTTGACCGCGCCGACGGCACATCCAGCTTCTTCGTCGCCGATTTTACCGAAGTCGACAACAATGTCACGCGCCACGTTCCCCGCGAGTTGCGCCAGACCGACTGGGGCCTCATGGTGCTGCACTACCTTGGCCTCGACCACATTGGCCACAAGGGCGGGCCGCGCAGCCCCAATATGGTGCCCAAGCAGCACGAGATGGACGCCATTGTGCGCGAGATCTACGAAGCCATGGAAACGCAGCCGCACCTCGCCAATACGCTGCTTGTCCTGCTGGGCGACCACGGCATGAACGACGCCGGCAACCATGGCGCATCGTCCGCTGGCGAGACGTCACCCGCCCTGCTCTTTGTCGCGCCGAAGCTCAAGACAGCACTGGCTGATCCTGCGGCGTCTTTCCTGCCATGCCCTCTCGCCGAACGGGACGATTTTCAGTTCTACCACACCGTCGAGCAGTCCGACCTGGCCCCGACACTGGGCGCGCTTCTGGGCTTCCCGGCTCCCAAGAACAACCTGGGTGCGTTTATCCCGACATTCTTGCCACTGTGGTCGCGGCGCCGGGACCAAGTGCAGATCCTGATGCACAATGCGCACCAGATCCTGCGTGTCCTAGAGGCTGCGTTCGGCCCAGAGGTATTCGCAGAGGTGTCCATAACGGAGTGCAACGGCCCGCAGACGCATGTCCAAGAAATTGCATGCGCGTGGCACGACATTGTGCGTACAGCGCCCCGTCTCGAGGACGACGACGAAAGCGGTGGCTTGACCGACGCGAGTTATGACGAATGGGCCACCAAAACAATAAAGGTACGTTGGTAGTTTTTGTAGCACAGAAAACAGCTAGCAAAGAAACAGCAGGTTGGACAAGGGCTAACCGCTTCTCAGTGGCTTCGCGATGCCCAACAGACAATGAGTGGCATGGCCAGCAATTACAATATCCCCATGCTCTGCCTGGGCCTGGGCGCTGCTGCCTGTTCCATGGTCCTCGCCATCGGGGCCACCTACGCATTTGTCTCGCGAGGGGGAGGCAGTGGCCTGGGCGAGATGACCCCGTTTGCCCTCATTAGCATTACCTATGGCATCATGATGTTTGCCAGCAGCTACGTTGAGGAGGAGCACCATTTCTGGTACTGGGCCACCTCCGCATGGCTGGCGGTGATTGGCGGGCGGAGTGTATCGTTGAGCGCCCGGCGGCCGCCGAAGCACGTTGTTGCTGCTGTAGTAACCGTTGTCGCCGCCTTCACGGCCGTTCGTCTTCTCCGTGGTTGGAACCAAACCGGCCAAAAGTTCGCCGGCGAGCCCGACCTCGTCAAGACCATTTTGCAGCCCAACCCACAGCTGCTCTGGACCTTCGTTGCGGCTACGTACGCGCTGATCGCAATTGAACTGGTGCAAGGGCTTGTTGTTTTCCCCGCCGCCGTGACCGCACCGGCTGTGTTTCTCCTCGTTCTCTCGGCCCTGTCGTTCAAGCTTGTCTTTACCTACGAGGACTCGCCCGAGCTGGTGGCCAGCTTTGCTAGCACACTCGTCGAGCTGATTGAGCGCATCGATGGCGGCAGCACCGGGCCGGTTACTCTCATTACACGCGCCCGCGTCGTCTTTGCTGGGCTGTCTGTTGCGACCGCCGCGGCTGTCTACTCCATTGTCGTTTCGAAGCGGCAAGGCAACACTATAAACCGACCTGCCACCAATGTTCTCCTTCCGCTCTATGCACTGCTAGCCGTAACACAGTCCCGCACCACCAACATCCCGCTGTTCCTCTTGTTTGGCGTCATCTACCGCTTTCTGGCCGCGCAGCAACAACACCTCGCGCCCACAGAGATCACCACGGCCGCGCTGCTCCTGCAATTTGCTTCGTTTTTCGCTTTTGGGGGCACTAACGCCATCTCGAGCGTCGACCTCTCGTCAGCCTACAACGGCATCTCCGGTTTCTCCGCCGGCGCTGTGGGTGTGCTGATTTTTGTCAGCAACTGGGCCGGCTCCATCTACTGGGCCGTTGCGTCGGTTCTCCTTCTCACAACTCGCTCGTCGTCGTCACCACCATCTTGTCCCTGGCTGCAGCATGCTAGCCTCCTCACTGTATTTGCGGCGGCCAGCGCCGTGGCCGTCATGGCTGCCTGCACGGCACTGCGGACACACCTGTTCGTGTGGACCGTGTTCTCGCCCAAGTATCTCTACTGTATTGCATGGAGCTTGGGTATGCACTTGGGCATCAACCTGGGCCTTGGCGGGCTGTTATACTGGTTGGGTACTTCCTCGTAAACAAACGCCATAATGTGTAATTGGCTGGTCTTGGATAAACAATGACTGTACTATACTACATTTATACAACTAGTAGAAAGGGCTGTAGACGCGGATAGACCAAGAGAGAAACAGGAAAGATAGCATTTGATTATCATAGTCATAGAAACATTAACCAATTTAGACAAGTGGGGGAAACAAAGAGAAAGAGCCTCGCGGATCCAAAACTACATTGGCGTCACCTGACTGCCAATCAATCATCGAGAAGATCATCTGTCAGCGAGTCTTCGTCTGCCTGTACCGTCGTCATTTGTATCGTGGTGCCGTCTCCGATCTCATCTGCATCCACGTCCGTCTCATTCAGGTCTTCTAAGACGCCATCACCCTCGTCTTCGTCCTCTTCCTTGATCTGGCCCACGATTGTCCGGTCCTCGTTGTTGCCCGCCAGAATGGTGCGGTCATCTACTCCCAGCGATGTGGCCCGGCTCATGCTGCGACGGCCCCCCACGACACTGCCGCTGCCGCCAATGTGGGACGCTTGTGCCTGGTCGAGGTTGTTGACAATCTTGCCGAGGCTGACATGGATTTTGTAGAGCGCATTGCGACTGGTCGCATCCGACAGCAGCTGGCTCTCTACTGCTTCCGAGACCTCTTCGTACACCGCCCGAATCTTCTCTTCGGTCGACGTCGGCGACACGTACAGCTTGCCCAGTAGTGGTGCAACTGCCTTCTTCTCCTCCTCTGTGCAGTTGTTAGTAGCGTGTTTATTTTAATGAAAGGAGGCATAGAACAAGGGCGGGTTGGGGTTGTCTTACTGCTAGCGTTGCCGTACAAGCGGTCGAGAATGGCCTTAGCAAAGTCTAAATGCACGTCGGCGTTGACATTCTTCTTCTCGACGTCCGCAGGCATGCCGGGAACGAAGCATTTGCGGGGGTCCGTCCAATCAACCAAGCATGCACCGATCGTTGCCAGGCTGGCCATCTCGGCATCAACGTCCTCATCGTCATCTTCCAGGCCTTCACGCACGTTGAAGAGTGCGTGCAGGGCATCCAGCGACACAGCCTGCATCAGCGCCTGGTTCTCGGCACGAGAGTAGCAGAACACAGGAAGGAAGTAGTTGAGTGCCTGGCGGACACCCTGGTTGGTAGAACTGGAAGGCTCAAAGTAAGCAACGACCAACGTCTTGAGCAACTCAAATGCCACTTCTTGGTCCGTCACCACACGGCCGAGTAGAAGCTTGGAGACGGCCACTGTCGCTGTCGCTTGCACCTCCGGGGCCTTGGCACCTGAGCGGAGGGCCTTGACGTATACGCGGAGCAAGGCCGGGTTGCTGGAGAGCAGCTGCGCGCCGTGAACATTTAGGATGTCGGTCAGAATGTGCAGGGCCGTAATCTGCAGGGAGGTGTGACCCTTGGTGTAGAAGCGCATAAAAACTTCCAGGTTCTCTTCGGCCAGGGACCGATCAAGCAGGGCGCATAGGCCAAGACACACGAGACCACGCTCACGAACGGGCGCCTCGTGGCTGCGTACGGCCGGAACAACCAGGTTGTTGAGCATAGCCACGAGGTGGTCGTTCTTCTGGAGGCTGCCGCTGACGTTGGAGAGCATGCACTGCACAATGTGCAGGCACTTGAGGTTGATGACAATCTCCTTGATAGCCTTGGCCTGGGCCTCCTCTTCTGTCAGCTCGGGCTGCTTGGATGATTGTCTGCTCTTGGTCGGCGTCGTGTCGCTGCTCACTTCCGACCGGGCAGAGTGGAAGCTGTCGTCTTCGGCAGCTTCGTTCGTGTCCACGTCGTCGAGAATCGTGTCGTGCACGTCCGCAACGGCCTCGAGGACGACGCTGCAGAACTCGCGCTCACCAGCGGCGTCAGGTGCACAGATGTCGCGTAGGACGTTGACCGTCAGCTTCGTCACCTCGTCGGGCAGGTCCGAGATGGACAGGCTCTGTCTCAGCAGCGCAAACATCTTACGCCGGCCCACCTCGTCAGAGTAGTCCAGTGTGAGGGCAATGTGAAGCAGCTGCTCGACAATGAACTCCTGCTCTACGGTATCCTCTTCCTCGTCCTCTTCGTCCTCGTCGACCTCCTTCTCCTCGGCTCTCTTGATGGCGTCGACAAGCACCTTAGTGTAGCGCTCCAGGTAGAACGCGAGCTTCGTGACCTCCGGCAGCTTCTCTTCAATCAGATACTCATATTTTCCGCTGTCGTCACTGCGGCAGAAGTCGTTGAAACTCCGCGCCATGAACACGGACTCAGCAGAGAGCGTCTCCCAGAAGGCGTCGTCAAAGTTGACGGCATCGCGGTAGTCGGGACGGCCCTCCCAGAAGCCCTGCATGGCCTCGAGCGCCACGCCCTCATCGACACCCGAGTTGACAACGTCGATACGCTCAAGAAGTTCAAGAAGGCCGTCAAAGCTGGGCGCCGCAGGTTCCGCCGGCTGGCCGTCTTCACCCGCTTCAGGCAGGCCAGCACAGTCCTCAATCCAGCGTTCACGGAAGAGGCGGCCGGCAGCCTTTCTGACGTTCTCGTCTCTGTCACGCAGGCCCCAGCGGAGGAGCTTCTCGCGCATTGACAGCGACAAGTGGCGGAAGTCGCCCAGGGCTGGCAACAGACGAGAGTAAACCGCGCGGCGGGTGGCGGCGTCCGAGTCTCGCGCACGCTCAAGAAGGTATGGCAGTGTGTTGGGCAGAATCGGCAGGTTGACCAGCAGCGACCGACGGACGTCCGCACTAGGGTCGTTTTGGAGGACCTCGAGAAGTTTGTCGAGCAGGCCAATCGCAGCGGCACCGCCCTCGCTATCGTCCGAGTCCTGGGCCTCTTCGACGGAGTTACCGGCAAGACGGCCCAGGCCCAGGACGGCTTGCGCGCGGATCATGGCCTCTTTGTCGCGAATGCGCCGCAGCAGACCAGAGCGCAGCTTCTGGAACAAATCGTCGTCGATAGCGTCGAGTGAGTTGACAATATGCGAGATGAGCTGGGTGGCGCGGTAGCGCACGTACTTGTCCTTGGCGACCAGAAGGAGAAGGACCTTGTCGACCAGGACGCCCGTTAGACGCGTGCCAGGGGTCTCCGGCATGGTGCTAGCATCCTCGTCGACCTCGCCCAGCAGCTCGTTATCCTTCTCGATAGCGTGGCGAAGGAAAAGGCCGACGAAGCGAATGACCTTGTCGCCGACTGGCTCCGACTTCTTGACTGGCATGACGCGGTACACGCAGCGAACAAACTCCTCGTTGAAGTCATCTTCGTGAAAGTCAGCGGACACTGCGGCCGACGCCTTGACGCTCGTCGGTTCGTAACAGCAGGCCTCCTGGATCTTGCGCAGGTTCACTGCGAGCTTGCGGTGCGAGGCCGTGTTTTTCTGCGCCTCGCGAAAGACAGGCGCAATCTTTGCACGCAGAGCATTGTCTTCAGGCTCGGCCGGGATGTCGAGGTTGACAGACGAGGCGCGCGACGCGGCAGAGGGGCGGCCAAGGGTTGTCGAGGACGTTTTGTGCGAAAGGGCACTGGAGACCCGCGAGGTCCTTGATGTGCGGGCAGGCATGTTCTGTCTGTTGGGGGTGTGTGATGCGCGATGCAAAAAGCAGACACCCAGTCACTGTATCCTGGTATCGCGAAAGTGGTTGTTGGATGAAATGCACCGAAGTGCTACTGTCGCGAGACGTGGCACCTATTTGGCGATGGTGGGCCATGACAACAAAGGGTGCCGCCTTGTTTATTTTGGTCCATTTCGGGACTAGTCTGGCTCGAACGTCAACAGTTGTGCACGTGACGGCAAGAAATATCTTATCGCGATAAATATCTCCACTTTAATTTTTCTGATGCATCCACTTTAAAAGTATCACTGAAGAGAAAAAAAAGCTGGGCATTCGAAAAAGAGTTGATAGTGTCTACCAGCAACACTCTTTCGCAGACAGCCGAAAAACGCCAGCACCACCACGACCATGGCCAAGTCTGTGACACAGAAGAGACGGAGAGAGGCAGAGGCCGACCAGGAACGCCGCCATGAGGAATCCAGCGACGCCCAGTCGGCCGCGATAACTGCGCCGCCGAATAAGAAGGCTCGTGTCGAGGAGCGCCGGTCGATTTTTGTCCGCTCGCTGCCGACGACTACCACCAGCGAGAAGCTGACCGAGTTTTTCTCGGAGCACTTCCCCGTCAAGCACGCCACCGTCGTAACGGACCCCAAAACCAAGGAATCTCGGGGCTATGGATTCGTGACCTTCACCGACGCTGAGGACGCTGCCGAAGCCAAGGCCAAGCTGGACAACCAGCTGCTCGAGGGCCGCCGACTGCGACTCGAGATTGCGGAGCCGCGTAGCCGGCCGACTGCGACAAACGGCTCGGCCAAGGCCATTGCAGGCGCCGCGGCGGCTGCCGACAAGAAGAAGAAGCGCGAGGAGGATATGCTTGAGGCACGCAAGGCGCCCAAGCTCATTGTGCGCAACCTACCGTGGAGCGTAAAAACGTCGCAGGACCTGGCGGCGCTCTTCCGTATGTACGGAAAAGTCAAGTTTGCCGATCTGCCAAGCTCCAAGGGAAAACTGTCGGGCTTCGGCTTTGTTACTCTGCGTGGCAAGAAGAACGCGGAAAATGCCATCGTGGGTGTCAACGGCAAGGTCGTGGACGGGCGGACGCTCGCTGTCGATTTTGCTGTCGACAAGCAGAAGTGGGAAGAGCTACAACAGAAGGATAGCGGCGACAACATCGACGACACCGAGGGGACGAAGGATGCCAAGTCGCCCAAGAACAAGAAGTCCAAGGCTGGCAAGGAGGCTTCTGGTCCACCAAAAACCGCCGAGCAGCTGCAGGCAGAGGAGGATGTGCGGAACTTTATGAAAGACAATATGGAGAATCTCGAGGAGGAGGAGGATGACGATGACGACGCAAAGGACGACGACACAACTAGCGACGAGGAGGGCTCCGAAGATGATGAAGAGAAGGACTGGGAGGATGATGACGAGGAGGAGGATGCGGTGGAGGCCCCCAAAAAGGTCCTGACGAATGACAATTCGTCCACGCTTTTCGTTCGCAACCTCCCTTTCACGACTACGGATGCCGAGTTAAAGTCACACTTTTCAAAGTTTGGACCGCTGCGGTACGCTCGCATTGTCATGGACCGGGCTACCGACCGGCCTGCCGGCACAGGCTTCGTTTGCTTTGTGAGCGAAGAGGATGCCAAGGCCTGTGTGCGCACCGCCCCGCGTGCTCAGAAGCCGGCAGTCACCGGCAAGCACTCGGTGCTGCAGGACGAGCGCGTGGACCGTGACGGCCGATATACACTGAACGGTCGTGTGCTGCAGGTGGCACAGGCTGTGTCGAAGGCGGAGGCGACAAGGCTGTTCGAGGAAGGCCCTGCTGCCCAACGGGCCCGGGAGAAGGACAAGCGTCATCTGTTCTTGCTGTCCGAGGGCACGATTGCGGTCGGTTCACCGCTGTACAACCTGCTTCCCGCGCCCGAAATCAAGATGCGCGAGGCCAGTGTCAAGCAGCGCCAGACCATGATCAAGAGCAACCCCAGCTTGTCGTTGAGTCTGACGCGACTTGCTATCCGCAACATCCCGCGTCACATTGATTCCAAGGGCCTCAAGGAGCTGGCGCGCAAGGCTGTTGTGGGCTTCGCGACGGACGTCAAGGAGGGTCGCCGCCAGCCGCTGGCCCGCGACGAGATTGCGCGCGGCGGTCAGCAGGACCGCGAGGCAGAGCAACTGCGGCGCGCCAAGGGCAAGGGCGTGGTGAAGCAGGCCAAGGTTGTGTTTGAGACGGAAAAGGGCACCAAAGTAGACGAGTCGAACGAGGGCGGCAAGAGCCGTGGCTACGGTTTTATTGAGTACTGGTCGCACCGTTGGGCGTTGACGGCGCTGCGCTGGCTCAACGGCCACGCGGTACAAAACGGTAACAAGACGAACCGCTTGATTGTCGAGTTTGCGATTGAGAACGCCAACGTGGTTGCACGTCGCAAGGCCAACGAGGAGCGGTCGCGCAACCCGCGCCCACCGCGTCCAGAGGGTGAGGCGAACGACGAAACCAACGGTTCATCGAACGGCCGACCACGCGGCAATTCCAAGGTTGGCAAGTTTGACAAGCCGAGCAAGTCGCAGAAGCCATCAGAGAAGCCTGGCAAGTTCAGCAGATCGGAGAACTTTAATAAGTCGACAAAGAACAAGAAAGGAGCATCTGAGCAGGGCGGCGAGAAGACCCTTGCGCAAGCATCCAAGGCTGCCAAGGCAGCAGCCAAGACCGGCAAGGGCGACACGGGCACCGATGGTGTGCGGCCGTCCAAGAAGGAGCGGGCCGATGCGAAGCTGGCCGTGCGCCAACAGATTATCCAGCGGAAGCGCATGATGCGCAAGAAGAAGGGCGCCTCTCGGGGCTGATTGCATGGAACGAGGTAGTTTGGGCACGGCGTTTTGTCATTTGTTTACATATTGCATAGATTAGCACAAAGTCACTTTTATACAACCTAAAAGGGATGAACAATTTACTCTAAATAGCATTCACATGGTCTATTTATCCTTCACTCGAGTTTAAGGTGCTAGTCATGATGTTGAAGGGCTATTTGAGACAAGAAGTTATTATATTTGTGCCGAAGGCATGATGAAAGTAAGTAGGGAAAAAGGGCAACGCCAGGCTAAAGCTACTCGATGCTGCAAACGAGAATACAACAGGTAGAAAAGAAAGAGAGGGGGGGAAAGGAAGAGGAAAAAAAGTTGCCAGTTTCCCAGTACGTGTAATGGAGACGAATAAAAGTGATGAGGTCAAAGCGACCACAAAGAGACATGGATATAAACCAATGATAGGCAAGGAGGGAATCAAAACGCAACAGTATCCAACAACAACAAAAAGAAAGGACAGCTAGAAAGAAAACACAAAGGGGTACAAAGGAACACAAGAATTACACCACCCCCTACTGACTGCGAACGCTTTCCTGCGATGAATCCGAAACCGACAACTAGCTAGCTACGGTTGCCTCGAGAGGCAGACCAGACTGGGATATGGCCGGTGTACTTGGCGGCACCGCTGCAATTTCTGGGTCGCCAATCTGGATATCGAGCTGTTGACAGAGACAAACACGTTAGTTTAAAAGTCTTATATCGTCGAGGAAAAAACAAAGGGAGGAAAGACGTACCGTCATGTAGCCAGTCTGCCGTAACGGAATAATCTTGGGAGGAACCGGCGCGCCTTCGTCTGCGGTGCGTGCCATCTCCTTGTTCCACGCCTCGATCCAGCGCTCGAGCCGGGCCAGGCGTGCCTTGGCACCAGTGAAGCCAAAGTCCTCCCACAGCCAGCCCGTCACCAGGCCGAGCACACCATCTACAATGTTTCGTGCGCTCCAGGGCTCAAAGGCAATGGTCAACTCGCGGTTCAGCTTGTCGATGACGCGGCGGAACTCGGGCTCGTTCATGCCGGCCGGGTCGAGGATCTCAGGATAGAGGTTCGAAAAGGTCGGTGCCAGGTCGCCCATGATGAGCCAGTCGCGCCGGATGCGGATGATACGCGTCGTAATGTATTCCGGGTCATCGACGGACACATGCGGGTTGCGGTGAGGGAAACACGGGTGCTGCGGGCCCCATTCTTCGCCAATGTCGGGCTGTGCTTCGGGGTCGCCCATGATGGACGAGTTGGACGAGGAGATGGCCGAACCGATTCCCATGCCATCGGGTAGAGACGCCGTGGAGTCGCGGTTGTTCTGGCTCTCTTCGAGGCCATGATGGTGGCCCAGGACATCCGGTCCGCGCTCGAGGTCCTTCGAAAAGGAACGACCCGCTCCTCCTGGGCGTTCATCGTCGACGGGAGATGCCATGGTGTTGTCTGTCAGTGTGGCTTTGCTCTTCCCCTTGTCTAGCTTTGCCTGTCCGGGGGCGGAATCAAACGTCAATCCAAAAGCTTGTGTTGGCGAGTCAGTTGCTTCTGCTTCGCGGTCGTTTCCTCTTTGCTGTTGCGAGGAAAGGAAAAGCTCGTCGTTCAGGCTGCTGTCTTGCAGTCTCGACGCTGCGAGAATGTCGGGCTCAGCTCCGCTGTTGTCGTCGGCAGCATCTATCGTGAGAGCAGAGAGTCGCTTGCCCTCGTAGGAGTGGCGGACGGATTTCGGCAAGCTCACACGCTTCTCGCTTCCAGCACGTTCAACCTGAAGACTGGCACGGGGTGAAGAGGTGTGTCGGATTTGGCGCTGCTCGGGGAGAGTAAGGAGCGGAAAGTCGGCGGCTCCGGTGCCAACCAGGTCGTCTCTGGCAACGGGCTTATCGCCGTCGAGAACGGGGTGTGAGAGCGGGACAGCAGGCGGCGGCGGAGTGGACGGCGCCCGCCGGCGGGCCGTGGATGTACCTGCGACTCCAGAGTGCAGCCGTTGAGGCTGCAGCTGGGCGTGTTGTTTCTGTGGCCGTAGCTGTTGTTGTCGTGTGGTCGACGACGAGGAAGCGACGCCGCGTGGCGTGGAATTGGTCGGGTTCCAGAGACGAGCAGTCGAGAGGCGTCGAAGCGGCCGTTGCAGGGTATCGGCAGCTCGGTTGCGAAAGGGGGGTTGGGGAAGGCGGAAGGGCGGCTGTGGGTAGTCCAGCGGAGCGGATGGGTGATGCAAAAGCTGCGGCTCTGATGTTTGCGCCGAGAGACGCCGGAGGCTTTGCTGGTGTTGCGCGGTGGTCTGCGGCGGAAAGGCTTGCGCAGAATAGGCGTGTGTCGCGTGGGGAGCCGTGGGAACGAAAGAGAGAGGGCGGCTGCCGAGAAGGCGTCCGCTGCGACACGTGAAAGTAGAGCGGGTGTGTGCTTGGGCGGTAGCGATGAACGACGTCGGACAGCCAGGAGAAACAGGAGCGACAAGAAAAAGAAAATGTTGAGACACAGGTCAACTAATGGTGTGTGCAATCTCCTTTGCCGCTGCGGCCAGGCTAAAAATGCGTGCAGCCGATCACTGTGTGCAGCAGCCAATCGCAGTGGCGGAACAGTGTCGGTGGAATTGGCGAATGGTGCGAGTTTGGAGGCGGTCGACGTGGACAAATGCGTGGGAATTGATAGAAAGGGAAGCCAAAATTGGGGTCGAGATGTAGATTGTGATTGAAATGGAGAGAACTTTTCAAGTCTGTAGTCGAATAACGAAAAGGGGAAAGAGCAGAAAGAGGAACTACGAGGACGCCGAGAGTTAGATTGCAACTGGGGATTAGGCGGGTGCTGGCGACGATCAAGGACTTTCTGGCAGGCGCGACCCAGACAAGCGACCAAGTGGTCGTGAAAGGGGCAGCAGGAAGGGGACGCTGTCCCTGGAGCGGAAGCAACACTGCGCACGGCAATGGCTGTCGCAGCAGAGCCAACGCTACCAGAAAAGTGTGTCCCAGTGCAGTTTAGCGGCGTTGCAGTGGTCCAGCACCGTCCCATCGTTCTGGGAGACGACTGCCAAATTGGGGTTGTCGACTAGAAACCACCCACAAGTTCCGAAAGACAGGCAGGAGCGATTGTGAGCTTGTGTGAGCTAATACAGCACAAAAAGTCAAACATCAAAAGAGGAAAGAGGAGAGAAGAAAGAGGAATCGAAGCAAAGAAGAGAAAAGAGAGGAAGGAGGCAACGACTTTATGCATCCTCTGTATCATATATAAGGCAACTATGCTGGGTATTGCTCCTCACACCCTGGTCCCAGGAAAGCCATGGCAAGGAATTAGGGGGGAGGCAAACATGAATCCTCGTGCGCTCGAGGCGGTGGCCAGTCCAAGCGCGCGACGCCATGGGTCCAATATGACTGGCGACTGGGCGAAATCCGGTGCATTGTCTCGTAGAATTGCACCCAATCCCACGAACGCCGGATGTCGTATCTTACATCACGTGCAAGGGCGCTTCCTCTGTACGTGGCTTCACAATGTTCACTCTCACGATACCTCCCTTCCTGATGGCGACTTGCTATTTCGTTTCGTTATTTTATGACGGTTACTATGATATGCAATCGTCTATCAAGCACACAATATACCTTCCTGTCGAAAGAGGACCCTTCTGTGGGCCGTGCCAAAACACAGTACGTCGTAGCAAAAGGGCAATGAGATTTGTATGTCTCCCCAATACATTAATCAAACATCAAAGTATTGCTCATTCTAACGGCTTTCGTATCTTTTAACTGCTGTGCATCTTACAAGTTAATACTGACAACGATACACAAAAGCATTCAATATTCATATTAGTATTCATATTATCAGTGACAGGTTTCTCGTGCATAATGCGTAGGTAAAATCTAATATCCCATGGCTTATCTCGATAAAATGAACTGCATCCAAACCTTGTCGTATTTGTGAAAAGCACACGGTTCTCGGTACTTACGCGGCGTGTGTTATCACAATCCACGCAACATGGGATGAGCCGAGTAGGGCCATTAACAGAGTTGAGCTAGGTGCTTTCCCCCGCAATACACTCTAATATCGCCGGAAGGCCAGGAACTGCCACTAGTGTCGCCCACTGTGCTAATGAGCCTCGGCCGGAGCATACCCTAAGTTACGTCATACAACGCGGGCTTCACTGTCTTGTATTTCCTCCAACCACAATATCCTATCGACTCCCTTAGGAAGACCCCTTGGATGAGTTGTCTCACCACGCCAGGGCTGGTCGTCTCCCTCGCTAACATAACGAAAGGACATCAATAAAAGGACAAGTTTTACTTCCAATTACATATGCGAACGGTGGCTTCTCATTACCGACCTGCCACCCAATTCCCCCCGAGGCGATGCAAACAGACCTTCGGCAACAACGGTAACACGCATTCGTGTACAGCTCCAGCCGCGACCGCGACCGTGACCACGACCCCGACCGCGCGCACTCGATACAACATCGCGGTTGATTTGGCAGGTCGCACGTCCCATGGCCGTTCGCGAGAGGACGCCGGACAGCCGGCGGATGTCGAGACCCATGGCCGACGCGACGGCAGAGACGACGTCTGCCACAGCAGGCAGCAGTGGTAATGGACTCCGAAAGCGACGCGGCTCGACGTCGTTTGACGAGCATCGGAACAGCTTCTCGAGCATTACGTCGCTCAATGCCGCGAACAACATATACGACCGTGTGAATGCAGGTGGCGCAGCCTCGACAGGTAGCCCGGCAGCCGCATTCCGACGCCGCAGCTCCAACTTTTCTGACTACAGCCAGGATGCACGCGATCTTCTGAATCCCCGTCCGCTCGCTGGATCTGCCGAGTTGTCGCAACATCAGGAGCCAACAAGCAGTTGGGACTCCCTGCCCTTGGCATTCGCGCTGCTGCCGGCCTTGGGCGGCCTGTTTGTCAAGGGAGGCGATTCCTTTGTGTCCGACTTGATGCTGCTCGCCATCGGCGGCATCTTCCTCCATTGGAGCGTTACGCAGCCTTGGTACGTCGTTCAGAAGGCTTTTGATAAACAGCCTTATTTATCTTCAACCCGCGCATAGCCGTTTCTTGTGCTGACAGGAGCAGGTCCTGGTATCATGATTCTCAACAAATTCGCGAAGAACACGAAGCGAACGCAGATTTTGCGGTCGAGATCGACTCTGATATCGAAGATTGCGACGCCGAAGAGGACCTACCACCTCCTGTCCCCCTGGGCGATTTGCAAGAAGAGCAGGAGGAGGGCGCAGAGAACGCAAAAAAAGACGCCAAGACGGAAGACGGCAACTCCACATCGCCGGCAAAGGCTGACAAGACGGAGAACAATCGGCCAAAGCCGCCTACGCCGGACGAGCGGGTTGCTGCATTCAACAAAAAGCAGCGCGAGAAGCGCCTGGAGGACCGCAAGGCGTTTCAAAAGCGACAAGAAACAGCACTAAAAGAGCTGTACCGCCATGAAACTTTGGCTCTGCTGTCATGCTTTGCGGCTCCCATTGCCGGAGCGTACCTTTTGCATGCATTGCGCAGCCAGCTGACCCGTCCTTCAGAGGGTCTTGTGTCCAACTTCAATCTGGCCGTGTTCATCTTGGCGGCCGAAGTACGGCCACTCCGTCACTTTTTGCAGCTTGTGAAATCCCGGACCCTGCACTTGCAGCGCATCGTGCACGTCAACCCCTACCGTGAAGAGGAAGAGCGGTACCGCGAGCGGCGCGCGCTGGAGGAGCAGGAGCAAAACGAGCGGTTGGCCGATCTGCTGCACCGCTTCGAGAGCCTTGAACAGCAAACCAAAGCCGCAGTCTCCGAGGCCGCGTCCGCGTCCGCGTCCGCGGCAGCATCAACCTCCACCTCAAAGCCCACATCCACACACCACACGTCATCCACGCCCATTTCCTACTTCCCTTTGCCAACGTCGCCTCCGTCACCGCCCTCACCCATCAACAATGGCTCTGCAAGCTCGCCAGACGACATTGGCCGGGCCAGTGCAAAAGTCATGCATCGCAGCCCGTCCGACACGAAGCGCGAGCGTGATCAACTAATGCGTGAAGTTCGCGCCCAGTTGCAGCCCGAGCTCGATACGCTTGCCCGGGCGCTGCGGCGTACACATAAGCAGCAGACACTGCTCGAGAGTCAGGTCGTGGCCAAATTTCGCGCAACGGACCAGAGGCTGGCCGATGCCATGGCGCTGGCTTCGGCAGCAGCGGGGAGCACGCGCACTCCGTTTCGCAGCCGCCGCCTGTCCGCTACGTCCACATCGATCACTCTGTCCCCGGGTAGTCTTGCAGAAGCCATGTGGACGAGTATCCTCTGGGCCTCCGAGGCCATTCTAGAGCTGCTGCTCTTCATCCCACGCCGTGTCATGATAGCCACTGCAGCAGTGATGACGTTTCCCATCTGGGTGCTGCAGAGCATGCTCGGTGCACTAGGTCTTGGTGGCACCAGCAACAGTGACAATAAAAAAACGAGTGGTGCAAGAGAGACTCGTTCTCAGGACAGCAAAAACGACCGATCGCTGGCCTCGTCATCCGGAGCGTCGACTAGTTTTGGCGACAGCTCTCTTCGTTTCGGCAAGAATGCCGGGGCAGACACTAAAATCGTTCGCGATCTCGACTATGAATACACTGCAATGTCGACTCCCAAGGTTCGGCAGAACCGGTTTGGATTGGCATGATGTGCGGTTTTGGCCACCTTGGTCTCCATTTCCTTTGTTGTATGGTTTTGGCGGCGTGGTATTGGTAACGACTATGGGATGGATTCTACGGATACACTTTGTTTTGACGTTTCTTGGTGCTGTCTTGGTTCTGAACTTTGTTACTTTCTTTCTCCCTTGGTCAGTACTCCTTTGACACTTTAAATTTGGATTTACCTTGTATGTCTTGTTGGCGTGCGTCCCCTTACCTCATGATTGCTTTTAGCTACGACTACCCATCAGACAGTTTCCATGAGCCACGTTTCTTCTCATCTACATTTCGATTGACGAGTTTTCCGGACTCCGGGCAGTTCACTCAAACTTCCGTTTCTCTGATAATTCTCGCGGGCTGGATATTTTCCGGAGACCTTGTGTTTTTGCCAGGCCTGAAGAGTTGTATTTGTCCCGTCGTTCCTCGGATCCTTCCATTCCTCCCTCTCACAGCTTCTGCCGTCCATATCATGTAAGAAATTGTCCTGCTTGTCCCGTCCTGTGGACTCGAGAGTCGAACTCGCCGAGCATTCCGCATGTTGACATCGAGGTGGCTTGCTGCGTCTCGGTACCTGTTGTTGTGCTCTCGCGTATCTCGCAGGCGCAACCCAAAAGAGGGTGTGAACGAAGTAAGATAGATTGCACACGGGATTTGATTAAGGGGAAGAGGAACAAGATATATACGTCGTATTGACTGGTTTGTTTTTCTCTCCCGGTCGCACCGCTTCAAATATAAAACGAGGCTCCCGCTCTTCGCCAATTTTGAGCCGAATCCAAACAATATAAAAGTGTGATGTTGTAATACGCAAATATTGATACACTACATCACCAACACTGCAGGGCCCAGGGAAACGGGGTAAACGTTGAAACAAACACAAGGAAACGTGAGTCTGGGGCTTGACACAAAACATTACGTGGTATTCAGAAGAATCAGACGTGCGTTGTATCGACAAGACGGCTTAATTTATCCTTTCTATTTTGTTTCCCCTGAAATACAGAAATATAAATTCATAAAATGTTGTTTATATCATGAGATAAAATAAGAAGTCCTGAACGCGGGTTTCGCATGTAAACTCGGGTTTTTTATAAAACAAATCGTAAAAGAAGGGTGGAAAGACAGTCAAGTAATGGCTAGTTAACATGACAACTGTCTACGGCTTCAACACTATGACTGCATCCCGGGAAGTGCATGCACGGAGAAGCCATGGCTAGAGAAGCAACTTCTATGTTTGATAGAGATGAATGCAGGCTAAATTGAATGACTTGAGTAATATGGGCTCCAGCGATGCGCAAGACAACGAAAAAGAAAAGAAAGGTGAAACAGGACTCAGAGAATATTTCCAGCAGGCAGCGGCTTGGATTCG